CAGGTGTGTAAACCACAAGGTCTGCGTTACTGCTTTCCTCTTTAGGAAGGGAAGTGGCTGCTGGTGTGTTTTAAAGCTGTTTCCCATGGGATCGGCAGATATTAACCAATGTCAGGTGCACATTTGGGAAGCCTCTCATGTGCATAACTGTTTTTTTTTGCAGACGATGATTGAAGCCCACGTGGATGTCAAAACTACCGATGGTTACCTACTGCGCCTCTTCTGTGTGGGCTTTACGAAGAAGCGTAATAACCAAATCCGCAAGACTTCCTATGCCCAACATCAGCAGGTTCGGCAGATTCGCAAGAAGATGATGGAAATCATGACCCGAGAGGTCCAGACCAATGACTTAAAAGAAGTTGTCAATAAGCTGTAAGCTGATGGTTTTCTCTTTTACAGTCCATGTAATTGTTTCAGTTACTGACTGAAGGCTGGTCCTTCACTTCTCTGTTTGGCAGAGACCATTGTGAAGTGTGTCTCTGGTGCTGAAATGCTGATGTGCTTCTTTGAACGCTCGTCTCTGCATCATGTTTGCATTAATTATTAGCCATCATGTTTGCATTAATTTAAATCAGGCTTTCCAAACATTTTTTAAACTGAAGTCTCTAGAATAAAACTGTAACTGAGGGTAACGCTTTACCCTCACTCTGGCGATCTTGTTGAACTGATGCAAACTCCTGAATGTTATATATTCTTAATTATTTTAAGTGTGTGTTGCTTGACTAGGAAGCAGGCACAGTTCTAACGTTTTAGTGCTAATCTGCTCTCTTGACTGTGCAGGATCCCAGACAGCATTGGCAAAGACATAGAGAAGGCGTGTCAGTCCATTTACCCCCTTCATGATGTCTATGTCCGCAAGGTTAAGATGCTGAAAAAGCCCAAGTTTGAATGTAAGTCAATCACTCCTCACATCTAGGGGATTGAAGGGAGGGGGGGAAGGGAAGACATTTGAAAACATCTGCTTTTGGGGAAAGACATTAAAGCAGCATCAAAAGATTGCATGGCTGTAGTAGTTAAAGGCTTGTCCTTCTAGTCAGATGTTTGGCTTTCAGGCTGGGAAGTCACATAGTGGTTACTCAGTTTGAAGCTTTTCTTGAATTCTTGCCTGAAACTGAATATTTAAAGGCTCTGGTTTGGGAATGAATGATGACAAATTGTTTCGGTCCCAGATGACACGGAATGATTTTAATTTTCCCATTTTCTGACATTCCCATATGATTAGGCACTAGGTTATTGAAGTATATGTATCTGTAACTTACTCCATTGCTTGTCTTATGTTGGACTCCATCACTTAGTCAGCATCATCATCTTGCACGAGTTTTTTGCAATGGAGTCGACCATACCTACTACATGACATGTGCTGGTGGTTTAATTTGTACATGATAATTAATTCAGTACTTCAAAGCTGTTTAAAATAGGTGTATCTCACTGTTTGCAATACTTCTTTTTAGTGGGCAAGCTGATGGAACTGCATGGTGAAGGTGGTGGTGCTGGAAAACCTTCTGGGGATGAGGCAGGTGCGAAAGTAGAGCGAGCTGATGGATACGAGCCGCCTGTGCAAGAGTCTGTCTGAAACCACAAATTGACCAAAAATAAAAGGTTTATTACACACAACAAGTGTTTGGTTGCATGTATTGATACTAGGTGATACTGCTACCAGATGTATTTTTTTAACAAGATAGACCTCTGTTTGAACTGAAAAAGAGAAAATAATTGCTTTGGAAATCTTTTTTTTTTTTTTTTTTTAAACGGCTGGTGTTGCAAGACAAGTGGAAGATGACGGTTTGTCCTTTTTTTGAAAGATGCTACTAGAAAATACGCTAAGGTTTCTGTGTTGTTTTTTTTTCCCCAAAAACTTTGGTCCTCACAGAAGAAACTGAAGGTGGGTTTCAAGGTTATATTTAATTGGTGAGAAGTGTGTCAGATGGAAGCACTGTACAGAGCTCATCGGTAAATAGAGGGAAACCTTTTGTTTCAGCATTTCTGTCCTGTGAAGGCATCTTCAGGATTTATCACGTGACTGAATTTGGTGTGATCTCTCATGGAACTTAAGAACAGCGGGAGGTGTTCACTGTAAAATGGCAATGGTCTGTTCTAAAACCACTCAAATGACTTGGCAGATCATCTGTGTTACCTGCGTCAGGTAGTTCATCTCATTTTTTGTTGTGTATTCCAGCTTAAGAAAGTGTTTTTCTGGCTAAGATAAGGGGTACTCTTTTATGTTGTTTAGAAGTAATGGGAGGGGTAAAAACCACACATCTTCTGCTACTGCATTGTTGGCACAGTTGTTCCTTAAAGGCTGAGAAAGAACTGCTTTCACCTATTTCAGAAGGATGCTGAGGTGGTGGCTCTTCCTGTTAGCTGTGAATTCCCTTGGGGCAAGGACTGGAGGAAAATAATGAAAAAGTTCACCTTGCAATAAAGATACTGGGTGTGATCATGAGGGCTGTGTTTTTCAAGGTTAAGAATTTTTACATTTTTGCAGTTAATAACTTGTTTGGAGCAAATAACAGGCAATAGGGTAAGGACTTCCACTAATTCTTTTATATACTGTAGATGATTTGATTTCACACTGTGGTTCAATTACTTTCCTGTCTTAATTGCAATCTTAATTGCCTGAGAGCTCCCAGTGCAGAACAGGGTAGGCAGTGAACAGAGGCAAGCGTTGAGCAACTTTTTCCTTTTCCTCACTACAGTGCTTGCGTGAACTCATGCAGAAGTGCCTGGTTAAAACTAGTAAACTGACAAAGCTTTTTTGTTGTAAGATTACGAAAGGAAGTTAAAATACTTTTTTTCAATTCAGTAGTTAATCCTGGATGGCATGATTCTTCAAAGTACAATGTCTGTACAGTCATGTCCTGAAAGTCTTTAGTTTTGCCTTGGCTTTTCAGTTCCATCCAGCTGTTTTTTGTCTTTATTAACAGTAGGCTGCTGACATCACAGAGTGGCTGTGGGTACATTTGTACTTGCAAAGTCACTTCACATGTAGTAGGACAAGTAGTTGTGTCACAGGGCATTGCCACGGTTGTGTCACTTGCTGTGCTGGGTGGTTGCTGCAGGCAGCAGTTGATAAATTCTGCATGTGTGAAGTGTGAAGCCCACCTAAATGCAATGTTGTTGAAGCCATCAAGATTATCTGAGGGGCTTGCACTGCTGCTGAAGAGAAGAAATACTGTTTTCGGGTTTTTTTTTAATGTTGAGTTAAATATAGAAGTAGAACACGATCTGTACCCGTCACATTGTGTGGAGGGCTTAGCTCTCTACAGTGGATGATAAAAATGCAATCATAATGTAATTATAAAATTTTATTGGTTAAATACATTTTTAATTTACAGAGGTACCATAACAAATGTACTAGACTTAACAAAGATTTATTTATGACACTGTTATCTGCACATAGAACAAAGTCCTCTTCCTGAAGATAGTTCCAGAGGTGGGGCAAACAATAGAAGCTTTGCTTATCAAAGCTTTTCTTATTACACTTGATGTTTGGGGCTCTGGCTGAAGTTCGGGGTTACAGCTGAAACTTGCTACTATATTGCAGTTCGGAAGGGTGTTCAGTTTCATTCTTCCTTTTCTGCAGTGTACTGTACACCTTAATTCTATCATCCGTATGCAGTTTCATGGTGATAGTAGGCATGAAGTCTTATTAACAGTCACTTCTGTGTAAGGCAAGCCACTAACTACAACTTTTAATAGGTTAGCTGTCTGCAGTAACGTAAACAGCATGTAGGTGGCACTCCTTGCCCAGACTTTTAAGGCTCTGCTGCTTTTCCTTCCCAGCAAGATTGGGAGGAGATGAATAATGTAAGAAGAGTGAACTTACCCGTTGACAGGCACTGACTTAAAACATTCAGTGGAAGATAGAAAAGCAACTGGTCACTATTACAGCTATAAAAATGTGGGAGAGGAAATTGAAAAAAAAATTATAAAAATTCAGTTCTACTTGGAGACTTGTATCAAAATCTTAAAAAACTGCCAGGCAAACAATAAGTAAAAATTATACACTTAAGCCTCCTCCTCCCACCACAGTGATTGTATATTTTATGAAGACCTGGTACTGTGTTTGGTGGAGTGTTTTTTTTTTGTTCTTCTCATGTTCTGCTTATAAGAAATTGAGAATTTGTCTTGGTAGAGATCATAATGGAAGAAGCGAGTTTCAAGAGGGTGGCCCACAGTTTAAGTCAAAAAGTTAGAAATCTCTCTTAGGTATTCATTGCATTGGAGGAATCTCTCATTTGTTTTGCCTACGTCCTACAGAAAGCAAGGGCTGGCTTATCTGTATAAAGAGCCATGGGCAGCTCCAGGTAGCAGAGGTTGGAGAGAGTTGCCTCAGAGGTGGACTTCAATTTAAGTTGAATTCCACAGGAGTTCAGGACAGGCGTGTTGGGATGTTAAAACTCAATAACAGCTGTACAGAATGTGATGCTTCTATCTTTCTAGGATAGCACATATGCTGTAATGGTTTTTATCATGTTAATCCCTCTAATGCAATTAAAAATCCAGTTTGTAGCTCATTAAAGCTTTGTGTGATCTTCATCCTCGAGGTGCATGATGGTGACACATAAGCGTATAGCACTTCTAGAAGAAAGTGAAGCTTCTAGAGAAAAAAGCATGCTATTATCTGTCAGTTTTACAACTCCTGTGGTGTAACGATAAATTCTGCAGAGCAAAGCAGTGCTGAGGACGGTTCAGATGAGCTCCAGTGTGTTGCTAATCTCCAAGATCTGCTCGCTGCTGGAAGAAGCTCTTGAGTTTAGTACTGACTGGAAGCTTGTATTGCCTGTTTGCTGAAGGGGAGGGAGGGAAAAGCTTTTTGCACCAGTAGGTACTTGTTGCCACGTTTGGACCTCCTATCAACATAACTGTAAGCCAACACAAAACTAAGCTGAACCATCTCAAGGTGAGTCATGATTGTTCTAGTTTCCACACTCTCCATCAATGTATCAGCTGCTAGCGTTCTGGCAACCAGAGCTTTAAGGGAGAAAGGCCTTGTATTATGTTGTCATATCTATGCTTCTGAAGTAATGACTCATAATAACAACTTGATGTTTCTTTTTCCTATATGGTACAAAAGTAATAGAATATTGTCAGCACTGCAATGAAGTTTTTTACTCCTCCAGTCTGAAATTATCTGCTAATCAAGACTTATTTAACAACTCTGTCAGAAAGTGTCACAAAATGGCATTTACTGTCAGAAGGTCCAGCTACCTCAGTCAAGGTCAGGTGCTGTTGCTCAAGCCATGCTCCTGCTTTACTAAATGATTTTGTTTGAGCTTCTTCGAAGCAACGTCTTGCAAGACATTTTATCCTTAAAGCTGTGACAGACCATTTATCATGATGCTTGGTATAGCTGGTACGTGCTAACAACTTGAAAGCTAACCCTGTGCCTGCAGAAAGCCAAAACCAAGGCTGCATAATATCCTTCAAGTTACAGATAGGAATAGTGTTGCTGAAGTATGTTCCAGTGCTTGAGCAGTAGATGAAATGTAGACTGAATGCAGACAGACTTTCCACTGAAATAAAAGGGGGTGGAGGAGCAAATTGTTGAAATAGTATAGCTGTGCTGGGAAGAGAACTGAGAAAATGGAGTAAATGCTGTCCGTCACAACTCCTGCTGGGAAAGGGTAGGGTGGTGCTTGATGAAGAGGGAATAGTAGGAAAACTAAGGCTCTATCTGGAGCAGATATTTGAGGTGGGCAGAAACATTTAACATGGTTCAAACCAGTGTAAGTGCTATTAGTTAAGAGGAAAAATACTTAAATATTTTCTGATCTCCCTTTTTGAGCTGTTTGGGCTAAGAACAGGAGAATACTACACACGGATTTGAGTTTTTCCTCTTACCAGTTTAATTTGACATTTTTCTACTGTAAGTTATCTAACTCGTAAGTGAATCCTGCTAACGTGAGAGTCAAGCAGTAAAGAAACCTGAATATTGAACATGATCTACATACCGACTGCTGGAATTATATATTAAAAACATCACTTTGAACAGTTCTTAAAAAGCTCAAATAAGCTTACTTTATGCAAAGGGTGTGCATGATAAATGTAATACCAGATAGTAAACATAACAGAATACTATTTAAAATCTTGTTGCACCACAGTATTTCCCTAGTTGGAGACCACTAAAAATTGCGCATGTATTTGCTCTCAGAGCTTTTCTGAAGCATGACTAAGTATGTGGTCACAAAAGACTAAAATCTTTTTTGACTTTAAGATACTCATATGACTGTCCAGAATAAGTAGTGCAAAACATAGATAGTCAGAATACATTGATGTCTTTGTGAAAACATTCTCTCCCAGACACAGGGAGTACAAGGACAGGACACTTCATGGTGTTTTTAAAATCTGAACGAAGTTTTTGGGAAATATCCCAGATCTTCCTTGTATCTCTCCACTCATCCAATCCTTGTCTACAGATTCCAGCTCTGTTATAAAATCTCCTGCCTGTAAAACAAGGAGTAACGTGAGCCATTACATCTTTCCATGTAGTAATAGGCCATGCACTGTTGTTGTTATTCAGAAGAAATTAACAGCAATTAAACAGAATAGTAGTAGGAGATGATCGCTCCTGTTACATTTCTTTGAAACTACATTTACCTGTCTCTTCGTGTAAACACTTGCCAAGGGTTGAAAAACCACCAGTTTGTGAGAGGAAAAAATAATGCTGCCGAATAACTTCCTGGAGGTAGGTAGATGTGTTACAGAGATGGCTTACAGGCTGCTGCCTCGCTCACTGTGCGTGTTCCTGCTCTGCTACAAGGTTTTTTCTTCTTCGAACACTTCAAATATTTTCTTTCAATTCAGTCCCAGTATTTTCTACAACTTGTAAACTTCACCCTTTCCTTTGGAAACTTTCTCAAAAAGGAATGCAGTTGAAGCTCATTGTGGCCTTTAAAGTCAGTGTGGCTTTATCTTCCATGTTTGATCTTTAGTCCTGCTTTCATCTTCCCGTGCCATACCCTTCATTCCAAGTATTGGCATAGCTCTAGCCTTTCTACCAGTACCTCAGTTCCCCTTTTCTGTTTTAAGTCATCATCCATCCATCATCCATCCCGTAAGGCAAGCTGCTAACGCAGAAACTAATTATTTTCTCTTTCTAAAGTAATGTGTTGCAGCTGATAAATGCAATCTTGGACCTGATGCTAAAGTCTGCTGGTTCTTAGAAACTTGCTTTTGAGGACATTTACTTCAATGTCATGTTTTTTCATCTACTGAAACATACCATTTGTTTGTGCTTTTTCATATTATATAGGCATACAGCATATATTTCCTTCTCCTTTTGCTCACAGGGCAACTAAGGATCGTGCTGCCAAACTTTCACATCAACTTTAAGGTTTTGCAGTAATAGGTCTCTCTTAGAGCTATCCCTGCTGTAATGCTGTCACCCTATTATCAAACCATCATGTTACTGTCTTTCCAGTCAAAATAGAGGCCCCTTTGACCTTATTAACTGATCAAGAACTGAATGTACTACAAAATGAGGTGTGTGGGTTTTGTCATATGTACTGGATTAGGGAAGTTAGAGCAAGACTACTATTCCTAACTTTTCAGTGTCTTTGGTGAAGATTTTGACTATGTTAAGGACCAACATTTTTAGTTGCTCTATATCAAATACATTAATAATTGTGTCTATTACCTGAGTTCTGATGTTTCACGTTCCAAACTTATTTTAGATAATTTTTTTTTTTTTTTAAAGGCATTCCTTAGCAACATAAGATCTGCTGAAATATTGGACCAAAAAAAACCCCAAAAAACAAAAACGGGGCACTTACTTTAAAGGAAAGCTCATCTTCATTTTCACCATGAAAATCGTAGAGAGCTTGGGCTTTTTTTTTCTTCCCTCCTAGAGACTGTGATGTCTCTACCCTGGCTGCAAAATATGGAATAGATGAGTTATTTGGATTTGAGGAAAATATATCTTTGTTTCTGGGAAAGCTTCCTGTTATGCTGGTGTTTTCTCCCCACTAGTGTGTTATCAGGTGTCCAAATGTTATTACTACTGCTACATGGCAAACTCACTGTCATGCTGGACTAAAAATTTGTACTGCTGCCAGTTCATTTTACAGAACTAACACATGCTTGTGGTTCCACTTCTAGAAGAATTAAATGTTAAGTTCACTTCCTTAAACTCTCCAATGCAGAAATGTAAGGAAAGTTGTCATTTCCACTTTCTAGTTGGAGATACAGTAGCATTCTGTTCTGCATGTATTTAAATTACACTTATTACTTTCCAAATTGCGCTCTGACTAAAGCAATGTACGTCATTATTTCAGAAACCTATTCAGCACTTCAGTTCAGCTCTAGGATGTTAATGTCTCTATTGGTGCACGGTTTTTAAGGCAGTGGAATAGCTACGTTCTCCCAGAAATTGGTCATGACTGTTGCATGGAATAATGAGCTGTCATCTAGCAGAGCACCTACCTGAGCAGGTCTGAACAAAAACTGCTGGGAAAATCCCTTCCTTGTCATTCAGTCTTCCTCTATACCACTCAGAATCTACTTGTTCCAGTATTTGGATGTGGTCTCCCTTTCTAAAGGATAAGTCATCTTTGGTTTCTGCTGTAAAATCATGAAGTGCTTCACACCATTCTACTGAGCATCGGTTGTTCTACTCAAATGAAAGAAGAAATATGTTTATTTCAAAAGGGAACAGCAATAAGCCCATGGATGTTGGTCAAAACAAGAGTACAAGATTTGCACATCCTGATTTTCCCTTATGCACTACTGTCTCTGCGGATACAAACCAAAAAAGCATTTCAAAGCATTTCAGCAATTATTATATAATTTCATCTAAGCTCATCCTTTTTACCAGTGATGGCAGAGGCTAGGGTTGGACCATTTCACAATACTTATGATACGCCTAATAAGAATTGCCTTAAGCAGAAAGGACAAAATTGTTAACTTGCCAAAAGCTGTGAAATCAATCGAGGTAGAGCAACCGTAAGACTTACAGATGTGCCCACACACCATTATGCACTGTGGGAACTGTACTACATTTAAGTTGGGCTGCTAATCTGACATTACAAAGTCTATGCTTATCTATGAAACCTCTGTGTAATTTCTGCCCCCCCCCCCCTCCTCCCCCCCCCCATGAAATTCTATTACCTGAAGAAGGGGAGAAAAAACCTCCGCCTTTTTCTTTAGTGCTCCTCCTGTACCTATGTAGCAAAGAACAACTTCAGAATAGTAGCAGTGACTACTCAATATAACATCAGCAACTTTAGATATTCAAAGTGACTATTAAGAGTAACTTCAAAATAGTATTCCTTTTGACTTATCACATCCATCTTCTCTTCCTTTCCACCTCCCTTCTCCTGTGTATTGTTATTTTGGACTTCTATATCCTTCTTACAACTGCCTATGTGTATTGTACAAAACCACATTCTTTAACGTTTTTGCTAATGTGGTCATACCTTTTTCAGGCAGATCTTCAATTACTTCCACAAAGTTCAAGGGAAAAATTCCAGACGTGCCTCTGAGCTCTCCTTTGGCCCACTCTTCATTTATATATTCTTTAAGGATAATTGTTTCACCTTCTGAAAAACTGAGTTCGTCTCGCTCATCTCCAATGTATTCAAATCGTGCTACACATCTTGGGCCTCTGCACAAGCAATACAGGAACTTACTTGGTATATTTAATATTGTTGTGCCTAAAATATTCAGGTAGTGCTACACAAAGAATGTATTGATATCTTTTACTAAAATGATCGAAGAATGCACTTAAGATTGAACATAAGGAAAACTGGAGTTCTGACCAACTTAACATCTCTGCTTCCTGAGGAGGATGAGTATGGAGTCTAAAGGAGACGGAGGTAACATCTGTATCTGAATTCCTGGCTGCTGCAGTATTTTTGCTTAAGATCATATTCTTTCAAACAAAAAACATCACTTCTACATGTCCCATTCTATAATTTTGCCATATCCAAGTCATGCTTTTGTTAAGAGCATCCCAGAGTGGAGAAATAAATCATTGAAGATAAAAACATCAGTGAATCTGACACATGTTACGGAGTTTGTCAGAATACTGAAAAACGAATTTTATCTTTTTCCTCACTTAACAATTTTACCTATTTTTCATACAAAAAAAAATCTGACTTATTAGAAATGCCACGTTGGAAAAAAAAACTTGAAAATATACTACAGTTCTATAGCATAGTTTAAAGCAATCTGTAAGCTTGATTCCCATCTGCACTCATATTCTCTTTAAAGTTGCAGCAGTAGCATTTTCTGCACATTCGTTAGCTGCAGAAGCAGCCTTTCAGTTAAGACAAACCTCCATCTATCACAACAAGGCCGACACTCCTGGTGATACTAGTTCCTATCTCTGCCTGAATTAGTTCTACTTCCTGCAGTTCAATGTTATGTAAGCCAATAAAGCATTACTCAGTTAAGACGTGTTCAAGAGAGCTATATCTATATAAACATTTGTTATAAAGTAACATACCAATTTTTAAACATACAAAGTCTTTTTTTTTTCCTGATAAAGTGTAATGCCACTATAATGCCATAAATGTTTAGTTTTTTAAATAATTTTGGTGAGGAAATTATTAACGATATTAGTGTCAGCACAGATAACACCTACTTCCACATTACCTTTCCTTTTAATTACTACTAATCGAGGTAAGAAAAAAACCAATATTTATGTGACTCACTTAATGGATTGTGAGGAGCAGGGTATTTTTTTCCTTTTGCCATCTTCTGGAATATCAACCTAATAAAACAACAAAATAAGTAAGATCTTCAATTTCAAGCTCATGCCAACGTAACTACTGCAAATACTGAACTTGTTAAAATCATCTATTTCTCCATTAAGCATCAACTCCTTTTGTAATTTTGACGTGATGCTATATAGTCACTGATACATTCTGATATATGACAATGGTAATGCGGATTTGCTTTTGCGTGAATGATTTTTCAATCTCATGCATACTTCATGTTTTTTGTTTTTTAATAGCCTACTTCAATAAACTGGCTTACAGCCAGGCCAATTGACAGAAAATGGGACTGGATGCTACTATGTGTTGTTGCACTTTGCTCCAAACTTTCAGTTAGTAATTGCTCTCTATCACTTGCTAGCGCAACATATCACTACAGGCAAAATTAGTGTTTATGCATTTTTCTGGGCTTTGGTAGCCAGCTGTACTCAGAACAAACGCACTTCTCCTAAATCTCACTTCAGTATTCATGCGGTGGCAGCATATATTTCAAGAAAGGTTAATTTAGGAAAAACAAACAATCGTTCTTAGCTCAGCTGTAGATAATTACCATGTGCTAATTAAAGGGATTGGAGAAACATCATCTAGAAAATCCATATGTGGATATGTCCAACAGACAGCATTGAAGTCCATTATCTTAAGATGACTTTAATTGTACTTTTGGTATGATATGAAGGATGGTCTGTGATATTTATGTAAGACTACGTGCCCCTACAAGCCTAGAGATCTTGCCTAGGAGCTTTGTGCTATAGCTCACTATCACATAAGCCAGTTCCACACACATCAACAATAATGTTTAATTGCTTTTGTGAAGGGCTGCATGAAACCAGTCAATTTCAGACAAAGATGATTTTCAGGCAAATAATCTTTTCACTGCTTGCTAGAGAAGCTTATATCTGTGGTGCTCCGAAGTGTCTTTGGGAAACAATAACTATGTATTACCATTTGGTATCCAGACATGAAGCTCCAATGTGGCTTGATATCATAAAACACACTATGGTGTACTGATGGAGGCCTTGTATGAAGACCTAAGCTGACTTGAATTCTCAGGAAAACTCACTCAGCAAATAAGCTGTATTTACTTTTTTCCCTCTTTTTTCTTTTTTCTAATTTTGCTAAAACAATTATTTTCTCACTCAAAGGGTATCCAGCTTTTAAAACTAAAATAAATGAGTGCCAAGTCTCTTCCCTAGCTTTTAGAAGTTACTTCTGCCAGCATCAATGCTTAATTTGATCTCAAATATCCATTCCACTGCTTTAACATCAAATCTTTTATCTGTAAGCCAGCAGTTTCACAAAAATATTAATGCTTTAAATTGTTGTTTTGTGTCAAAGAGAATACACAAGGTAGCTAATAAATCTTTCTCGTAAAGCAAATTGAACATAGTTCCATAACTACTATCTGCAGGTCTATTTGTTATTCTTCAGTGCTTTCCAAGCTTTGAAATTCTCTTCCAGTAACATACTACAAACTGAACAGGCACCCTACAGAACGTACCGTGATGGTTACTAAGTACATGGTATTTTTCATACAGCAGCACCTCTCATCTCTGCCAGCTGCCCAGTATCAGCACAGACCTTAACTGTCTTTAGCAGCCAGCCATACACCTTCACTGCATCCTTATGTTAACTTACTGTTCTTCCATGCCCAGTTGGCTGAGGTGGATAGCCCAATGACCCTTCATACAAGCACAAAATGGACTTAAATTCCAAGTTGGGCTTGCAATAGATCTCATCTAGCTTTTGAGGCATTGAACTACGCTGCATTTCTTCTAAGCTGAGCCTCTCAATTCATTTCTGTTGGGCACCAAAACAACACCTGCCTCTTGCTTGCAGTTTACTGGCAAATGTCACATTCAGTAACAGGACTGCTTTAAGCTGCGCATTTGCAATAGCACAGTCTCCTTTCACAGTGCCAGCACACCCATTTGTGAAGCCACGTAGGCGAACTGATCCATCTGGAAGAAAGAAGTCTGGGAATACAGAAAAAATGTTTCACTGGGCTCAAATGCTGCCCTGACCCAATTTACTACATGGGTGCACAAGTGGTGATTCCAGCGTAGCTTACGGGTTCAAGAATAAGAGAGAAGTTGAGATGAGGGCAAAAAGCTATCATCGTACTTGTATGCTGATTTTTACATGCAGCCGTAAAAATCATCTGCTTGTAGACCCAGATAAACTACCCAAGTTAAGAAAGAGAATCTGGTAAGGGCCATGGTTTTCTCACTTGGCTTGAAATTAACAGCAAAATAAGCTCCATAACACAAGTTGGCTCTGCCAAATCAAGCATCTTTCTAATATCATACAAACAAGTTGCTATGTCTTCTGTGATGCCAGAGGGAAAAGAGATTATCTAAATAGCAACTATAATAAAACATAACAACAAAACCAATGCGTTAGGATTCAGCAAAGTATGCAAAGCCCACATACAATCACTTGAACAAAGCTGGCAGGAAATATCCCTGTGCGATTCCCACATTTTCCTCTGTACCACTTGGCATCAACTCTCTCCAAAAGATAAACAGTATCTCCAGAACGAAGGTCCAAGTCATCAGCGTGCTCTGCAAGACAGCATCATGTCACTTAATGGGGGTTTTCACCCTCGCTGATTTCAATCATTAAAACTTCATTAATATAAATACCACGGACAAAAGTGGAGTAAGTTTTCATAGAGCCTTAACTGTACTTGCTAAACAAATTAGCTTTAACAAGATCACCCACCCAACCATAGGTAAAACCCTTGGATTTTAACAACTTTACATGCAGAGCTTGCACGCTGTGCTTCCTGACTATTTTTAAGATCCGAGTCCTAGGAAAATCCCCATTTGAAAGACTTGGAGAAAAATAAGCTTCCCAAATATTCACATTTACTTACCTGCAGAAAAATCATGCAGTGCTACAGCATGGGGAGCACTTGTGTCAGAAACTTTTGGAGAGTTGTTTGAATCCTGGCATAAACAAATTCAAACAGTTTATACATCATGGAAGATATTAATACAGATTTGCTGTCATGAATTCCTTAAGTCCTTTTCTGACTTAGGACACAACATTTATCACGATATCAGAAAATCACTGGAGGTGACAAACTTAAGTACTGGTCACTGGTCTATATTCTGTGTGCCTTCTGCCAGGGTAAACCAACAGATATTTCACTGAAATTTACTTCTGACCCAGTAAAAGGAAAGGGAAGGCATGTAATTTTTTTCTAGTATAGACAAAGCCTCAACTATCTCTGCGTGTCAGAAAGCTGGAGAGCTGATGGCAATTCTCTCTGCAAAAGGCTGTTGCCCAATTCTGTGCTGGCACTCAATAACGCATGACATGAGTCACTCCTCCATGTTCAGAGACCCAGCACACACAGCACAGTCAGCACATCTACCAAGTGCCAAAAACTTCAGAGGGGGAATCAAGACACCAGGAAGTTTTACACGAAGATAACAGGAGAAGTTACAAATTCCTTTTGGAATCTTTGTAAAGGGAAATTATATTCACAATGTTCAGCTTCATCTCTAACCCACTCACTAGGAAAGAGTTTTTAGACTGTACTGTTTTTCAATCACGGTGTAAAAAGCAGTATTTTACAATCACTATGTATGAATTGCTTTCAAGCAAAGTAATTTGTCATTAAAAACAAAAGAAACAACCAGAAAAATCTAACATGAACGACAGAATAATATGGATAACAAGAAAGAAAAGAAACCTATAGGTTTCTGCTAATCATAAGCCTGCTCGTAGCTAGAATTTATACTGGCTATTTAATATTAATACAGCCATGCCCTAAAACACATTCAATTTTGTATAAGCCCAAAGCAAAGAAAATACTTCGAAGACTTTAAGTCAATTCACTGATACATCATATACATCCCTTTGTAAAACTAACTGCTTAGCTTTTGCCCAACTTTCAGATACTCAGCAGAGGGAGTCGTTATCTTCATAGGAGACAGAGGAACTTCGCCAGTTTCCCTCTCTTCTGGCACTCCAAGTAATTACTGTTGCTCTGCTCCACAAGCAGAATGACCTGGTGCCATAAGGCAAACCACCAGTATTGGATTCTGTTTTGGCGGTTGCTTTGTTTTTATTAAAGAAAACACAAGGATTTAATGAACCATTATTGGATTTCTCAGAGTAACCTTTAAAGCCTAAAGCACTTGATATTTTAACATAACAGAGGCTTTGCTCAGGACACTTACGCACAAAACATGAAACACCAGAAGAACATGTCTTACCTTATGAGACAGTTCTCCACGGTTTCTGGGAAGGCAATTTTCCTTGGCAACTCCATGAGGCACAGACAGCTTGAATAGGAGCAAATTGAAATAGTTTGTTTCATTTTGAAGCACCACACATTTCACAGCATGCCAGGTGATGGAACTATTCAGATCATCAAATACAGGTAAGTAATTTAGAAGTCTTCTGGAAGATGACACAGTCATTGTCATGGTTCTATGTTGGTTTTTTTTGTTTGTTTGTTTTTATTTTGGGTTTCAGTATTCCACATCAGAACATTATGTAGTATATGGGGCACTGAAGTGTTAATGCCCCAATCCCAGTTACCTATCCCTGTACATTACAGAAGTCACGGGATCTGGCCCTTCAGGGTGCCTTGCAGTGGGTGCTGGAGGTGCTTTCCTAGCCGTTCCAAGCTTTTCAGGTTTGAATCGGTCCCAGGAACTCTCTCTCTCATCTTGTCTGATTTATTAATCTCAATTTCAATTTAATTGTATATATTGTGTTATTTTGTATTCCAATATTATAGTAAAATAAGTTTTCCTCCATAGATCGTTGCCGCTGCTCTCTTCCTCCCTTCCTTCCTTCCCATTTTTTGTGGGACTGGGGTGGGAGGGCAAAGGCCTGTAGCCCCTGTCAAGGACATAGATTGATCTGGTCAACTCCGTGACAGATTTTTGGCGCCCACCGTGGGGCTGCTGCTTTTTAGCTTTTAGAACGAATCTCTTTTTCTCTCTGCTCTTAGAGAGCTTCGTTAGGGAGCATTATCAGTAGTTCAGGTTTCTGTGCTGGAAAACCTGACCTTGAAAGATTAGGCGTACTGCCAGCATTCTGGGATATTTGTAAACTTTGAGCACTACTTAGTCTGAGTAGTGCCTTTTTTGTTTGTTTTTTTTTTTCCTTTCCAATAAAGTATTTAACAGGATTTCATGAGAGCTACACAAGAAGACAATCAGGAGAGTGAGAGTTCCTGGGACCGATTCAAACCTGAAAAGCTTGGAACGGCTAGGAAAGCACCCTCCAGCACCAGACACTCATGAACCATGAACCTCCAGAACCATGACACTCATGTGGAAAGTATTTAAAACAGAACTGCAGGTGATAGAAACTGCTTTTTTTGGGAAACCGCTTTTTTGTTACAAGTTTTAGAAGTCTTTTAGCTACTTAACTTTTATTATAACATACCATGTATGATGTTCAGCAACACTCTATTACAAGATATGCTCTGCTTTCATTTTAAGTATCTACTTATTATCCTCCAACATTATGTGCAATACAAAATAACACTTTTTATAATGAAAAGGGATTACGTCAACACAGTTTAAATTGAAGTACTGTTACATTTCTCACTCTCTGCAAGCTTGATTAAGCAAGATAAGCTATTTTAAACTGCAATGCTCCCCCAGTTTTGCTAAGCATCTTGACACATACAGGCAAAAGCAATACACAAATGTGATATTTATTGCTTTACGTTGTCTTAATAGAATTCAGAACTGACAACTGTGAGAACCCTACCCAACCGAAGTTGTACACAAAAGATACACGGAAAGATAATATACATATACAAAAATACACACATACGTGTACCTGTACTTTGCAATTATATTTTGCCTTCTCTAGTATTACCTCACAGTGCTTATAACTATATATTTACTAGTATTTTTTAAAGAAGATTATGTTGATAGATGCACTAGCCATATCATATTAACATACCAGTACATTCTTCATTACTACTATCATCACTGTTCCATAAACAAGTTGCAGAATATCTCAGCTCTTACCATGTATTTATTGTAGAGGGGATGACCTGGCCTAGGTCTAGGAGGTAAAGCTGGATCTTGTTTTTTTATGACTTGGCTTTTTGTTCTCTTGGGTCCCAATCTGAGCTTGCTTGGCTTTTTATCATAAGCAACGTAAGAAGTGGATCGGGAAAGAGCATCCTTCTGGGAGGAGGTCTTGGTTGCAGAGAGTTTTGGTGGAGGTGGCCTTCCAGGAACACCTTTAGGTGGAGGAGGTCGAGCTGGTATAATTTTTCCATCCACAGGCCTAAAAATTCGATGAGCAATCAGAGAAATGCATACTAATAGGCTTGCCACCCCACTCTCCACCACAACCCTAGCTATCGAGCTTCTATAAGGAAACATGGTGACAATGACCAGCATAATAGAAGAGTATATAATACCTTAAGTTCTCCAAGAATACATGAATCAAAAACCTTCAGACAAATGAGATCAGATGATCAAGTGCTTAGACAGATATTTTTTTTTTACTACATATTTCCAAGTCTGCTCTCCATTTTCGCCTACAAACAGCCTGCCAGTGTTCTCAAAAGCCTCCTACATGAGGCAGGATTTTCTTCAGCAATCCATCTTCAAAAAGAGTTTTGACTGCAGCTGCCTTACCATACTGTCCTTCCACTGGAGAGCCTTAATGAGAGCCCTAGGAAGCTCAGCTGATGAAGCAGGCCTTCAAGAATCAGCCCAACCCATTCACTAAGATGTCGTCCGAGGTGACTTTTGAGCCTCTGCTGTAACTCATGATCTATGACACCACTTGGTACAATGGCATCAGTAGCATGATTTACCATTCTTACATGAACAAAAGAAAACACCGGTAACAATGCTCAAGCTTCTTGGTAATGCTGGAGGTACCTCACTCTCATTAGCATAATAGTTGTTTAGAAACCAAAAGAGTTTAACTGATAGTGGTAATTTAAAATAAAACAATTACGTTTAAAATCCTCCTTAGTAAGCACCAATAAAAAATGCTGCCTATACAGCGTACATGAGCATTTTCCAAATCAACTTGCTAATAGTTAATTAGCTAATAAAAATCACCTCTGTTATAAACAAGCATTGCATACATGATGCAAAACTTTGTGTTACTAAGAAACCTGGCTCTACAGCGATTCCATAAAGACAACTGTTTGACTGTTATTAGTAGGTCTTCAGTGCATTACTGTAGTTTTCTGCTACATATAGTATAATAAGAATAATTATTTGCTAGTATGAATTCCTCAATGATCTGTAAACATTATCATCACCTACAACAAATGTGCATTAGTGGGACTTAAGGCATTCTTCTAGCATGTTTCATTTGTGTCAACCACCACTTTAAAAGATGTTGGTGATTTACAAGTGTACCTGGATATAGTTTTTAACTCCTATTTGAGTATGGATTTTTTCTTACAGTTCAAAAATAATTCCCTCTCCTGCTCAGTTTCCACCTCTCCTCATTCTTGGCCTCATCCTAAGCTTTTTTTTCATATTGATGAAAGAGGAAACTCCAATTTAGACTATATTAAAACTGGAAACAGACCAACCCATGCATTTGTGAAGAGACTCAGTTAAACAAATAAACAAAAAAAACACAGCAAGCACACGTTATTATTCCTTTAAAAAAAAAAAAAAAAAAATGAACAGAAGACTAAAAGGGTAAAATTTTCACTGCAATTCCAGAGAACTACTAGAGAATCAGGGATGCTACTACAGTAAATAGTAGTAGCATTCATTCAATGGGGGAAAAATAACATGCCATAGGGGGAAATAATGAGGTGTTTCCTTGTTGGGTATTAACTTTCCTGTTAATAAGTAACTACAGTGGACCAGGCTTCAATACTGAAAAATTCTCCTATCCTGATAAAATAGAGCAAGCTCTTTATTTCAACACGCATATTTTGGATTTTGAGTGTAGGTGGTGACACAGCCACAGTGGGCTAACTGGCCAATGCATTATTTCATTCCAGTTTGTCTCTAGCATTCAGTGGGCCTGAATCTAAACTTGGTCCAACTGCTTTTTCCTCCTCAGCTCTTTTTTATTGATTCTTAAAAGGTATAAAAATAGGTTATAATGCATTCTGCTGCTTCACTTTTTTTTTTTTTAAAGTAAACAGTAGAGATACTGTAGATAATAACCTGTGCTTCCGGGAAGGTGCTGGCCTAGCATGTGCCCATTCCAGGGTGGCAGCATCTGCCACCTCCATTCCTTCATCACTCAAACTCAGCCACAAGTGCAAGCGCTGCTGACCAAAAGGTCAGCAACATGCAGGAGAGGATGTTCTATGTTCAGCTGAGGGTTAAAAGGTTAAAGATGCAGAAAGGAATGACTGTCAGCAGCCACTGCACATTAGCTGAGGAGTCAAACAGCTGTCCTCCTATAATCTCTCTGCTCATACCAATAGAGTACAAACAAGTATGAAATAACTAGCAACTTGGTCCTGTTTATTTATTAGTGAATAAGTTAAAAGTACCTAAGCCTACTGTGTCAGGTTCAGAGTCAGTAATATCTATGCTGAGGCTACCTACACAAACTAATTCAGAAACATCTCTGTTAAGTGAATCAGTGAAGAATTGCACTTACCTTGGGGGTAATGCAGGTTCTAGTTGAGATGCTCCAGCCTGTTCTGAATTATTCAAATCCTACAAAAATTAAAATGACCAAGTCATTTCATTAAGCCTAGGAAATAAAACAAATCCTCTTTAAATGATGCATTTCTTATTTTACATTACAGTCAGGGAAAAAAAAAAAGTGTTTTTGGAGTTTGAGGAAAAAAGTAATAAATAACGTGATGCATTCTAAACTATTATTGTTGTACGTAGAGATAGTAAATTGACTACCTGAATCACAGCTAAAATTGTACAGTAGCTGTAACCCAGCCCTTCCTTGCCTACAACCTGGGACTCAGAGTCTAAGAGCCAAATTCCGGAGAGTCATACAAATGCACAATTTCAGTGCCTCTAAGATCAAAACTTACTTGCAGTTACACTATGAGTTTTGATTTAAGTTGACAGATGAAAGGACAGGCTGACACTAGGCACAGGCTTCGAGCAATAAATACAACCTTGGTGTACCTCACGTTGGAAAAAGTCTCTTGCCAATAACATTAGTTCTTATTCAGAAAGGTAACTAAAGATGCTTCCTAGAGACCTAACAAACAAATCCTGATTCATCTTGCTTTGGCAGATCATTTATTTAGTGCTTCCAGATGCCCATCCCCACCTTGCCAGAGACTACTACCCACAGCAGTCAGTAGAGAGGAGCACATGACATAGCTGAAGGGTTTGGACCACAGTAATGCATTAAGAAATTACCATCCTCCTGCCTCCTGCTGTTCATTTTTACCCAGTGCCAGAGAATAGTGCCAACTAAGCTGACCAAGCACAGATGTTTGCAACAGAATGGTAAATCCGAGTGCTGAATTTGGGTACAAAAGTAACCTTTTTGGATCAGTAACTTTAAAAAGGGCTGAACAACCGTATTTATCTAGATGTGGAGGCAGGCTTGAAACTAGTAAACAACAACTGTGATTTTCTCGACCTGGAAAATATCTAGATTTATTTTGTGACAAAACTTAGGCTCTTGACTACATCCCCAGATGAATGCTCCCGAGTAAATGCTTCTGATTAAAAGGAAACTTACTGCTTTCAGATGGGAGTGGTATCCTAACAGCAAAATGTTTTCCTGCCTGAAAAGGAGCAAACCTGTACCAACCGCTGCTTACGGTCAATTGTTTCTATTTGTTCTACTGTAATCAGTTTCACAGATAAACACTGCTAGATTTGAAAAACCAGTATTTGTAATACTCAATTTGTAATACTCATTTATTCTCAATGCCTACCACTTGGCATTCCAAATAGCTTGAAATGAGTATATTCTATTTGGAACTTAAGTTAAAAAGAAGGAACCTATTCCAAAATGATTGTATGAGGTGGAACTTCCACGTGTCTGTCATAATAATCTGGATGACACTGCAAACATTTTGGAGTTGTATTGTGCAAAATGTTATTTTATGTCATTGTATTGGCAATTATTTTTTCAGCATTGTCCAGAAAAGATAGGAACTGTATGAATAGCCTCTTTAGCTGTGATGTACAAAAACCTCTCTATCTACTAGCAAAAGTAGCTAAAAATACATTTGCTGGCAGCCATCCACTTAGTCTGAGCTTTTGATTTCTCTCTTTACTGCCTGTGGTTTCCACAAGATTCACCAACATTTTTGCTATCATCACTCTCAACATTTGGAAATTCTGTCAATTTCTACTCGAATTCTCTTTAGTACATCTGTATCAAAAGGCATACAGGATACACAGCTATGGTGTACACCATTGTTATGTGCTCAGGAGCAAGGAACAGAGCCTTACTTTCCAAAAATTGATGGTTCTACTCAGGTTCTGTTAAGGACCAGAATAAAACAACTGGAAGAAAATTGAAGAAATCAGGCTTCGCTCACCAACAGAACAGTTTATCCTGCCTGTAAATTACACTGGCCACATAAGAAGTGCTATGTGTACGAAATAAAAAAAAAAAAACAACACAGATGTATTTCTGAAGGACTTCGGCAATATTTGACCATACAAACATTGCTAGATTTTGAACCACTCTACAGCGCTTTCAAAACTGAACTGCAGCATATCCTGATTCCAGATGCAAAGAAAATTGAAGATAAATGTAATTGAAGTTCACTAAAATCAGCAAAGTGTTTTCCAGAACTGGCAGCAGTCTAAATTACCTTATTAAATCAGAGAGCACAGTCAAAAGAAGAAAGTCTTAGATTTTTGATTAGTCCCTTTCATCCTTTGGTTCCTCAAATAACTTACTTTAAAAAGGGCCAAGAGTGACAAGAGATCTGTTACCCAAAGTAGGGAAAGCTGTTATACAACAAAACAGTATTAACTTACCATGTTTTGTACTAGGTCACCACTGTTGGGTTTGCCCACTGCGATGTCAGAGGTGTTGCCAATAGGCTTTTCAGCAGGAAGTGGAGGAGGGCTATGTGGGATTTCATCTAAAGCTGTAAAAACAGAGGTCTGAATGAAAGTCTAATCAGTACCTTGTTTACAAAGAAAGTCTAATTAATAGATTCTTCACACAGACCAACACTAGGTAAGAGAATCCACCTTGGTGTGGGGCATCTTGTTACAAACACAACTTCCTTCCTCAAAGCCAGAGCGGCCAATGCACAGGAAAACTCAAAGACTAGTCAACAGAAAAAGGATGTGAAGGGAACACTGCAACTCTGATGTTCAATGTAGGAGTCATTCCCATTCCACATAATGAATCTCCACTGGTGTCTCAGGACACCAGCAAGTTATTCTAGGGTTTCAGCTGCAGTACTTGTTGATATAATATTAGACGACTAGCAGAGTTTCTACCCCTGGGAATGTCAGACTCATTCCTGTATACTCTGAAACACCATCACCATCTCTCAGCCACATTTCTTAACTAGCTCACTTTTTCCAGCTGTCAGCTCCTGGAATATCCTTCAGGCTGGAAAACAGCTGAGGGTTATTTCAAGTAACCCTGAAAGATCAGAAGACTTGGATGGAAGAATCTACAGAAAGGTAAAGGCAAGAAAAAAAATCCTGCCTGCTAGAAAATTCAAGAGGATAAAACAGAAGGAGAGTTGGGAATTACCCAGCAGTCTTTAGGGAGCTAAAGAAGTTTAGAACATGGAAGTACAGCTCTTACTACAGAAGAATATGGAAGTACAGCTCTTACTACAGAAGAATGACGATCTCAGTTTCAATTTAAAAAAAACAAACAAACAAACAAAAAAACCCTGTTAATTATGAGATTTGTTCTAAATGTCTCTGTCGTTGAAGTCTGGGAAGCCCTTTGATCAATTTTGTAAGCATATTCACCAATCATTTTGTCCTCATATACTGAAATTCTGTCACTTATTTTAAAATCTATTTGTATAAAATGAGAAGTCTTTTCTCACAACAAACTTCAGACACTTAAACTCTTCTAACTTCCAGCCAGCTTTGGAATTTTATAAATAAGGGTGTATAGACAGCCTGGACTTTCACTCACGACAAAAGTGAAGACGGATGCCATGGAAAGAACAAATTTACTCAAGTTACTTGTTTCACAAAAAGTGCTCTTAACAAAGGAAAAGCACATAGGAAGGAGAAATGGTGTTTGTTTTTAACACCTCAGTTGCACTAACATCATCTAGAAAGCTGGTGTGACGTTTACAAGTAAATAAGTTCAAGCATAAATACCTTATAATTCTTAGGAACAGGTTAAAGTTACTGTGTTGGAAATGACTGAGCACAGGGAATGGAAGCTAATGCAGTGTTCATCCACTCTTCTAAGCTAGAACTGTGAGAAGTAAAAATGGTACCTGCATGTAACTGCAAGGGATATCTTCTCGTAATATACTTCATTGATATATAAAGAGCTTGACAGATTTATTTATTCACACCACCTCAAATCTGGATATATGCACAGATGGCTTGATTTCCCTTCCTTAGCCATTGATAAAGCCAAAAGTTTAAAAAAAAAAAAAAGCACCCAAAACTAGAAAGCAGGTGCTAACTTCACTGATTTCTAAGTGTAAAAACTGAAGTGGAAGCTTAATGCTACCTTTCTAATCACTGCTCAACAAAAATACTAAGAAACAAATTCTAAAGCACCAGAGCCCCAAATTCTTCAACATCCACCTTTAACTTTTTTTGGGGGGAGGAGTGCTGGTTTTTGGTTTGATTTCTATTTTTTATTTTTCAGTTTTATTGACCTTCTTGTTTTGCACTGGTTCCTGACAGGATTCACCCAGAATGGCACAAAAACCCCAGAACCCATTTTACTGAGATCATGTAGTTCTCCTACAATCTGTATGCTACTATAGCCTTGTCACTCCTTAACCCAATTGTACTACGCTCTTATTTTTTTTTTTTTTAACAGCTTACATTTCTATAGTAGCTCCTATCTGACAAAAAGGTACTCTGCTCATCTGTAACTTGCTTCTGCTCCTTCACATCCCTCAATTCTAATTAAGCACATTATGACTGGCAGTTTCTGAAGAAAGTTCAATTGCCACTAGAGAGCAGCAAAGGGACAGGTTATCTACAAGCTGAAAAGAGTCCAGATAAAAAAAAAAAAATTTAAGGATTTTTTTGTTATTATTATTATTTTTTTTAAATGGAAACAGCAATAAAAAAAATCTCCTTTGTGGAGAGAAACTGTGTCCTGGATTCTTTACAGTAGACTGTAAACAAATTCTTCCAATAGGATAAAGCTTTATTTATGATCATTTATTAGCAGAATGATTTTCCTTGTAGCTTATCTTCTGTTTTCTCTGCATATCTCATCACTTCCACTGCATTTCACATATATGCAGAGGAAAAGACGATTGCGGTAGGAGGGGATCTCAGGAAATGAGAGAAAGTCTTAGCAGCAATGCCACCAGGATATTTTGGTTCTACATCTACTCAATTTAATAAAATACGAGTCTGAAGTACAATTTTTTAGAGTCAGCAGTCCTGTGATCTTTCTTTCTAAGCTTTGAGGATAAAACATAAGGCTGAACATTAGCAAGTATGTATTCAAGACAGAAAGATGAACACACAAAGAGCCACACAAGTTTTCCAATAAACTTCCACCGTGAAACACTGTCAGTGTCATTAGTAAAGATATAAAGGATCAGAGGTGAAAGAAAACCATAGTTGGGAGGTCTCTGACACAAAACTGAGCAAATCAGTTATTTGCATCCAAATTCTTGCATGCCTTTTTCACTCCCTCTATTACTACCAAGATGCTATTGCTTAAATGATGGTGGTTTCTAGATCAAGTGGGTCAAGGAAACTTTCTAACGTAATCTGTGAAAACTTTACAATAACTTTTGAAGAACAAATTAATATCATAAAAAGGTTTCTTTGACAACTGCAGACTCTGCTGCCAGGAAGCAGCAACAAAATACCCTCAGCTGATGTCTGAATGTAAGTCAGTTATTACCAAAGCAGTATGGTTTAGATGACTGAACAAATTTGTTCTGCTGAAAGGGTCTCTTCCACCTCTTCTCTGCCATCTTTCAGATCACCTCCCTGCTGCCACTTTCCCTCTGGTAAGCATTAGTTCCAAAAGGTTTGAGAAACATCAAACAGTGCAAGGGAAGGCATCAGACAAGATAGCTGAAGAGTAGCACGACTCCCAGCCACTGAAGCCTCCCACCACAGCTCTTAAGTGAGTCATTTGTTTTGTTCAGCTGTACCTTGGGATTGCTCTGACAGCAAATATAACAAGTTAATAGCAACTCCACTTTAAAATATTTATTTGCAGTTAAAATCATCTCCTGATAAAGATTTTTCAGTCAGTTCAGGAGAAAAACTTACATTTTCCAGGTTTAGCTGGGATTCGGATAACAGTGGGTTTCCGTGCTACAGCTGGTTGAGCCGCCTGCTCCTTTGCCGGTTCGATTTTGGGAAGGAACTGGAATGGATCTATAAGGGAAAAAAAAAAAATATATATATATATATATATATATATATATTTAAGGTTTATTTGCAGAACATAAATCTCACCAGCTACTGCATTAGGTACTAAAGACATCAATATTTCACATCCAAGAAAGTAAGAAAAAATAAATCTGGTTCCAGGGACAAACACTGTGCAGATACGAATAGAGTAGAGCTCTTTGTAAATAACATCTTTTTGATACTTCTGCTTCCATAGTTGAATTAACACGAACACGTTCCAGATGCCTTCTAGGATTATACAAGTCACTGAACCAGAGCAACCGCACTGCTTGATAACAGGGACCTGCAATCAGGACGGATTCAGGGAAATTATTTTCAGAGTAGTTGCTTGAATATGCTGCAAACACAATCAGCAGAAAGTTTTAATCAATAAAATCTTGCCAAAGCTTAACAGCCAGGTCTACAGCAGAAAAAAATGCCTACAGAAACAAACAAAAATAGAAAGAATGTAAACATTACTAATTACAATATCTCTTTGCTGTAGGATACCTAATTTCCTTGAAGATTGTGCTTCATTTTTGCTGATTATAAACCTCAAGTCATGGGGAAGACTGCTTCAGGTCAAGGACACCGAGTTGTCCCTGAGCTCTGTCTGTCCCCACGTGTATCACTCATTTCTCTTCTAGACTATCCAGTCATTCCATTGGTAAAATGGGAGCAATGTTTTCTATTATTAATAAACTTTATCACTGGTCTCATGTTAATAGGCATGAGAACATATGAGCATGTAGAAGGCAGCTGTAAAAATACCTATACATAAATAAAATTCAAATCAAGAGGTTCTTTCTCAAGTACACCTTCATGTCAAAAAGCAGTATTTCGTTTGTATGTTTTTAACAGACATTAACTTTTCTCTGACGTTACCAAAAACTGAAGTAAAACAGCGATGCATCATAAACATGTAGGGCAGAAACTGGAGAAGTATTCTGGCCAGTAAATTCTCCACCGCATGTATTCACAGCTCCAACAGAGGAGTTTGATCTCCTGTGGTGGCCTTTTTAGATGTACAGCTCAATGAGATGTTATTTATGGAGCGTCAGAGAAGAAGCACGCTGGGCATCTCTTTAAATTCTACAGGGCTTTTTAGCAAAAAATTTGCCCCTTCCCAAAACTACTGCACACTTTGAGACAAAGTTGGAAACTCTGCATTTGATAAAATCCTACGAAACACTTAGGAAAAAACAGAATCATTAAGTGAAGTTTGATTTCACTTGATTTCTTATAGATAATTTTGAGAAGCGTAACGCAGTGCAGCTCATCAATACACCTGAAATCTGTGTTTGTGAATGCACATCAGACTTGAAAATATCCAGAAGTACCCTATTTACTCAGGAACAAATCTTTCAGCACTGCAACTAAAAACAAAAATCTCGGTATTTTCAGAGAGGAGAAATAGTCCCAGAACACTAAGCTCTTTATTTTATTATTTTAAAACTAACAACACCCAGAATAATTTCAGACAGAGCAACATGTAATAACAAGCTGCTGAATTACAGCATGCCAAACTGCTCTCCTGCAAACAACAAATTTGAGGTCCTCATATGTTGCCAGCAGCCCCTCTGCTCCCCCATCCCAGGGTTCATCTCCTGCTAGCCCCGAGCTCCTTTGCAGGAGCACCTCAGATTAGCACTGGCCAGCAGAAGGTTTAAGTTCCTTCCATGAAAGCTGCACCAGACAAGAGTTTCTTCTGGAGGAGTGGAAAACACAGATCACAGCAGGGCTGCAAACAGTCTGGCAATAAGGTAGTTATAAGAAATGTGAAAATCCCACTCTTAGAGCAAGGCTGCAGTTTTGATTTCCTTTCCTTTCTTTATACCTAAGTCCGCAAGCTACACTGCTACAATTTGAATTGCGTTAAAAAAGGATTTGCCTAATTTTAACACTTAGAATGGTGTTCAGAATGATTTTGGTGCAGGTGAAAAAATTGAAATTTGAGCCAGGCTTTCCTCCCGTCTGCCAGCTATATGGTAACCATACCCTACCGGCAAGGAGCCCCCTGTAGAGGCATACCCATAGAAGCTTGAGGCACAGCATACTCACAATCAGACAGGTTTGGACAAAGCAGGCAATGGGGATCTCCCTCAGTCACTTGCTGCAGAGATGAAGGAAACTCTGAACTTGAACTGAGATGTGATTACTTTCCAAAGCCTCGTTCTTATAAAAATATAGGCAAAGTAAGGCCAAACAGGAATACTCCGATCAGCCAAAATTCTTATCAATCAGATGATTGCAAGTTGTACAGAATAATTGTACAGAATTACTGTTTGTTAACTGCTGATTGTTTCTATGCGTAGAGATGGTTTTCTTGACCATCCAGCAGTTGTCTGAGGCCTCTCAACAGATTTGAGAGATGTCATTTTTAAGCCTCCGTTTTCTCAACCAAGTCTGAGAAAATCCTTTTACAAACCTTAGTTTTCCACTCATTATCTTCTGTTCAGATACACTGTTGTCACCTCATAATTAGTAGGAAACTCATTAACTTGTTTGTGTCATTCCATTCCCCAGTGCTGGGTCTGCAGCAGAAATTGGTTGAGTAAACGACTGTGCAGCTTTGTGCAATGGGACTGACAGCATATCAAATTTTTATGTTGTTTAACAACTATTGGGCATCGTTTGAGCATAATTCATGGGAGTGTGAAAACAGAATTGTTAATATACTCATTTAAACCTCTTCAGCTCAAGGAAATTAATCTGCAAGGCATTTTTCATAAAATACCAGACTTCTATCGATCTTTATTAAAATTTTACAATGATGCTTAAAGCCTGTGTTTTCATTAGTCTCACTCTTCTAGAGCTTTTGTTTCAAAGTATTAATTGGTAACATACATTTCTGTGCTTCTTTGTAGGAAAGACAAATAAAAGCTATGTATCCTAACACACCATATATCACCTCTTTCTTTTACTAGTTTAGGAGAGAGAGCTTTTTTCCTCATTTCCATTTATCTTTGTCATTTGAAGTTGGAAATGTTACAGAAGAAAAGGGAGCTTCAGAAAGTTATCCAACTTTTATTTATTTCTTTTGATACCACAGGATTTGGTGACCTTTCTGAAGCACTCATGAATACTGTTCTGTCCAAACCACACACCAACAAAGCAAGCAAACAGTAATATCAAAGTTTTACCTTGAGGATTATCTTTCCTGCAAGAAAAGGAAAGGTGATCCAGTTCCCAAACAGAATTATCAAACTTCTCACACATAAGCAAGATTTTAAAAAGAGTTGTACTAAGTCTTAGGGACAGGAAGATGTTATGTGGCAACATTTATCAATACTCAGAGGAGCAGAAATACAGTGAACTACTTGCACAGGTATTAGGCATTGCTCTCTGTTCACTGCTGATATCTGATGGACTGAAACAAAAAGCAAGGTAATTCAAGGCCATGAACAAACCTGATCTAAAGAATGAATGATGTTTACAGGATACACATGGGGCATGCAGAAGGAGCTATCAACACAATGAAAATGCACAAAGTCACAGAATTATATTAAGTTTAACATTGTCTAGAATGTACCAGTAAAATTGCTAAGAAATGCAAATGAAGATCCAATGTTAAGTGTGCTTGTCAAAAACAAAATGTGCTCAATTGAGCAAAGATAAATACCTCATCCATGGTGTTAGAAAGCTGGAAAAGAGATAAATACCAAAACTGCTACTAGAATAGCAAAATGTCTTGGGCTACTATAACATGCAATGATAAGCGTTTACCAGATGTACAAGTACAGCATTATGTAGCTCACAGAAATGGCTATAAATGGACCTTTACCAAACTTAGATTATAATCCAGTTTTTGGCATTTCTCTTTCAAACTGTGGGGATCCCCACACTTACTTTCTATGCGTATCTTAAAGCACAATAGCTTAATATGGACAAGCTAGCAGTGAGCTACTACTAGAGGTGACTTTAATTACAGACTTTGAAACAAAACAATGACTAAGACCAACATAAACTGTGATGTAAGAACTCGGAGACTTTTCCCACATCACGATTCTTCTTTATCGGTCAGGAAAGAATCTGGTAGTTCAAGTTGTAAGAGCCTTCAGGAAGCTCTAATTCAACCTCTGGTCCAAAGTGGTCAGCTACAATGTCATGTTGCTGAAACTGGCTGCATAATCTGGCCTAACTTCATGACTGGTGCCAGATGCTATTTGGACATACAGTGTGAGACAAAACCCAAGACAGTTCCCAGAGAGCAAGAAACACATTCTCATCCATTCTTGCTGAGTCAAGGAAGACTTGGTTACTTCAAGTAACCAAAAGAGTCATTGAAAGGTACACAGCAGAATACTAAGAAAAGTTGCATTATTTTGAAGATAGCTCTGGAGCAATCGACAGTTACAAATATTTTAACTCTTTTTCTCCCTTCCTTCCTGAGGAAGCAATTAAAAACAAGCAGCTGGGCAATAAATTCACAGAAGACAAAGTTACTCAAGCAGCAGTTTTTCTGAATGGGCCACAGTGTCACACAGATGCTACCATTCATGCCGCAAGAAGCAACAATATATATAAATAGACAGTAATCACTGGTTTGGTCATTTTTTCTGTCCATACAAGCAGAAGGAAACTTTTATACTACGATGAAGTAAATAACTAATTCGAAGAATTGATAAACGTATCAGCTGCATTATTGTTAGAACTGAAATACATAAATATTATGAAGATGAAAGAGAAACCTGCCTTACGCAGGTAAGGTAAGAATATCCCCAAACTACCTTTCAAAACACTTGGTTTAAATTAAGTGCTGGTCTGTCAGGAACATAATCAGAACTGTATGACATCTCAGAAAAAGCAAAAGAGAATAACTCTACGCACACAGGAAAGAATTTAAATATTTTAGCATGATCACCTCCTGGTTTTAATTTAAAGATGTGCTTGCACTGTTACCTTATTTTCTGCCAGGGCATTTGAAAGCACGCACACCACATGCTTTAACACAGCAACTGAAACAAGGGAAAGTGACAATCTTGAACTTACCAAAGACACAGAACTTCTACTTAATTCAACTTGCACTAAAATTTCATTTCTGAGCCTTCGTAAAAAAACTGGACTACAGAGAAAAGATTCCAACTGACTGTTTAGTGAAACTTTTAACCACAAGGCACTGCACAAAACCCAGTTACCAGGTAGAAGAGATTTGTAAAAGTACTATTTACGATCCCAAATATCACAACTGTCATCAAAGCATTAACACTTCAAAATTTACAGTCCCAAGTAAATGCTTTCACATTCTAAGGGACTGACAGGAACAGGAGTAATTTCATTAGGACACAAAATGCCTGTGAACATTCTCTCTAGCCTCTGTGTCAAAAACAAAGCAGGTACTTAGAACTGGCATCAGTTTTGGCTGCTGCTGAGAAGAACCATTTTGGGGATTTGTCATTCCTAACTTCTTCTCCCTGGTGTTTCTCTTGGGCCAGCAACGAAGACAACAGGTGGGTGCAAGGTTCTGCCATGGTTTACCTCAGAATCACAGAGCTTTTGAGCCTCCAGTGCTCCAATAGACCATAATGACACTGAAGGCTTTGAAAGTAAACTTGATACCCTGTTTCTCAGTTTGCAGAAGAATCATCTGTTTTGCCTGTGTTACACTTTTCCATCCAGTTGCTCACCTCAGCTTTTGCACCTTTCTCATCATCAACTGAACGCTTCACCTTCTTACTTTTGCATCAGATGTTAGCAGAAACAGTAATCTATCTGTTCCCTTCTATTTACATTAGTTTAAGTGCCAGATGCATTTGTGCTGTATCAAGAAAAAAAAAAAAGCTCGTGAATGTTACAAACTGTTTGCTTTTTGACAAAAAAAAAAAAAAAAACAGCTGGTGCTTAGTTACAAACACCACCACCTAGAAGCCTTCCTCCCTCTCTGTGGTTACCATAACAACAAGGAGAGTGCTGTCATTTTGTTAAGTAATGACAGTGACAAATATGTAAGAAATGCAAAGGTCTGGGGAATTGGGAGCTAGATTACAGCTTTTCTTCCTGCCTTTACAAAACATTTTACTGTGGATTCATCTTGTAAATCCTAAGCCGTTCCTATGGGAACAGGAGAAATAGCTGGTGTTAGTGCTCTGTGTTGCCTCATTTTTCAGAAAGCCAGTGCTGTTCTTGTAGATGCTTTGTCAAGACCTAGCATGGCATTAATAATCAAGGGTATAGCATATGATCTCCAGCTCACACATGCCTGCAGGAAGTCTGGACTGAATTCTAATTTTTCTGTGTAATGAAACAATAGTGCTATCAGACCTTCTCTTTAGTAGATATGAAGGGGTTGCAGCAAAGGCATCACTTGATTAAATAAATAATATCATGGACATTTGACTTGGGAAATCAACAAACCATGATGTGAATAATTCTTCACTTAACTATGAGAATGCAAAGTATTTTCTTCTTCATTAAATAAAGAATAACATCTCAGGTGCCAGAAAGGTGAAGACTGCCATTCATTCTACTTAATCACAAAAGCTGCCGTATTTGTTTAAAAATTAGGCGTGATATAACAGAATAATTATCATTAATAATTTTTTTCAGATTTGAGGATAGATAGTCTTATGGATCACATAGCCAAAGCATCATTTTCATTTTTACACACTTAAAAACTGTAAGTATTTTCTTTTCTCATACTTAGAACAATTCCATTTGCCCTTCAATTGTTGAACCTTTTCAATAAAAGCCTGAAAGGTTAAATTCTCTCAGATGCATGGAAACCAATCTTAATTCCTTGTGCTTTTAACTCCTAAAACCACCGCATGCACAGTGGCTGTCACAATAGCGGTCCCCAAAAATTAGGACCATAACTCTGTTCCCATTTAGACACTGTCACTCATGCACCTCAAAATGCTTCTTCACTTCTTCAGTACTCCTTCCAGGTCTGCTGCAGCCTCTGCAGTGATCCTGGTTCCCTTTCAACCAAGGAAAGGGCAGACATAGATCCACGTTAAGCTAATTAGCTGTCCTAAAGGACATTCTGTTGCCTTACTTCAGTGCTTTTATAAGCTGCTTCAAAATTTTTATTGACCTGTACAGTTTAAAGGTGTAAGGGACTTCCTATATCTGCACTGGGGTTTTTATGCCATTGTAGAATGGAAGTGATAAATTGGAGCTTCATCTAACAATATAATCCACAACTGTAAAGAAATCCCACTTACTAACAACCATTAATACTGATTTATCATGAAAACTACACAATACTTACACATCTCTTTTCAAAAAGCTGCTATGTTTAATGATAAATGAGGTAAAAAAAAAAAAAATAAGGCTTAAATTCACAGTTAGTCCTTTAAATATGCCTTTTGTGTGACATACCATCTGTTTCAAAGCAAAACATTTCCTGGATTGCAATGGGGCTGATTAGCTAAAGCAGGACATACTTGAGTACTAAGAGGAAAAAGCTCATTGCTGTAAAACTCAGTAACAGCAAAGCACAGAACCTACTTGTGTCTTAAACTACCTATATCAGAAGAAAAAAAAAAGCCCCAGTTGGCCTCTTTTGCTATAGAATTAAGCAAAGTTTATGAGAGGAATACAGCTGCAGTGATTAATCCATCTGTATGAATTTTTCACTTTTTAGAAAAATCTGAAGTTGCTTAACTCGCATATAGCCATATATAACACCAACACATGAAAGAGAAACTAAGTAGCCACTGCTCAGAGTATTCCAAAGTATGTCTGATCACTGTTCTCTCTAAGTAATAAACATTGCTGCTTCCTTACATGACCTAGTGGAATAAATATCTACATGCTTACAGTGCTCAGGAGGATTCTATTGCAGAATTGCAGGCACTCAAATAAATTAGTTAGACTGGATGGCTAGAGATAAGATGTCCCAAATTCCTGAGAGAGTATTCTGATACATTCTGGAGGCAACATCTGGCATACAGCATCAAGTCTTTTATCATTATTTTTGTTATTGCGTAATAAATCCAGCAGGAAGCCTCTGAGATTTATGCAGGCTAGAAACCTCCCGAGTCCCAAAACCCAAGTAATTTCGTAGTGATCTTGACATAATAGAAAACAAAGAATTTCATACACACATAAACTCTGTCAAGACAGGAAGAATAGACAGACATAATTCACACAGAATCATGCAACGTGCAAACAGAAACCCAAGTGACAGTTTTAAAAACCAGCATCTTACCTGCTGCTGCTTCACAACTGATGCTGTCTTTAACTGCACAAGATGGACTTAGAGGCAAAACATCATCATCAAAACTGATCAGATCTCCTCCCAGATCTAGCTTACTTTGCGAAGCAGGTGCTGAGGAGTGCTCTGTGGGTGACAATTCCCCCACAGACTTGAAAGCCTTCTCCTGGGCAGATACAGAAGTCCGTGGTGGAGCAGAGATAGGTTTTAGAGGGACCAAAGAAAGGGCAGGATTTTCTGCAGAATGTGACTTCTTAGGAATAAGAGGCCTTGGAGCGGGAACAGGAAACTTTCTTTGTTCATGGCTGTTGTCTGCAACTGAGCCACTCTTTGCATCAAGAAAATCGCTACTGCTACTTTTTTCAAGGCCAGGTTTGGGTTTCTTTGGCAGTTCAGGTTTGGTTGCAACACTACTCCCAACAGCTTCAGGTTGAAGCTGCAATTCTCTGGAAGAAGGTATTGGTTTGCTTTCTGTCCATGCATCCCACTCTCCCGAAATTCTGTCTACCCCTGGCTTTGGAGCAATTACTGGCTTCTTTGCAGGTACAGGTCTTGTGGTGAATGTACGAGGGGCAATTTCTGGTTTCTTTAATAATCCTGAGGTATCATTAGCTCCTTGGGTTTCAAAAACTTTGATCCTTGAAACAATACTACTTTGGCTCTTGCCTGTACTCATGCTGTCCACTGTCAAGTGATTGTCTAGTAAACTATCATCTAAGACAGACGACTGCTGAACTGAAAGTTGCAGCCTCTTCGTGTCAGACTGGTTCACTTCTTCTCCATTGTCTCCTATCTGACTTTGAGTATTTTTGACTACAGGTCTGAGATTGCTTCTTGATCTTGGCTTTGGCACAGGACATATCACAGCATTGGGATTTTCTTGGTGCCTCTGATCTTCGGAATTTTCATTAACTAATAAGGAAGTCTCATTTTCTGAAGATCTGTTCAAGAGAGGTGCAGAAGGCCTAGGAGGTTTCAGAAGACCTGGCCCTACTAACAGAAAAGAAAAGGTTTCAGTTACCTATTAGAGAACACGGTATTTATATTAATTTTTATTGACAATAAGAATGTGAAACAAAAGTTTTTGCTCAGAAGTGTGTTCAAGAGCTCCTTGTGAAACTGCAGTTCTCTTTCTAAAAAGAAAAATAGAAAAAATATGTAAAATTCAGGAAGAAACTGAAGATGGCTGAAATGCATGGTATCTACATGTTATGAATTCAGAATTACTTGTTAGCTCACAAGCAGTAAGGGCATAGAAGTAACATCTTGGCCAAGGAACAGTACAGTAATTCCCTCAGCAGAGGGAGTTACTCACATTCAGTCAGTTACTTTCTGGTTTTAATGTAGCACTGCTGTTATTCTGACTGGACATGGGAGCTCTACTGGCAGGAAACTAACAGCCAATATGGCTGAACTGAGCAAAACAGTGAATATTTTTATTGCTAAGTCGAAGACACACGATTTTACTCATCTTCATTACTGAGAAAGTTTTAAATGTAGTCTGTGAGTGCAGTGATTCTTCAGAAAAAACAGTTTTGCAGCAATTTACAGTATCAACCATTCACAGAAATGTAACTGTCATTCATGGTAACCGTTACACAGATGACAGAATCTTAGAATCATTAACACTGAAAAACACATCTAAAATCATCTAAGCTAACCATCAGTTCTACTCTATGCCAATGATACCATGTCCCTCAGTGCCACACCTACATGTTTCCCAAACTCCTCAAAAGACTGCGACTCTACCACTTCCCTGGGCAGCCCGTTCCAATGCATCACAACCCTTGCGGAGAATAATTTTTTCCTAGCATCCAAATCAAATATTTCCTAGCACAGCTTGAGATGAGTAATAAAGAACATATTCAGGAAACCGGCTAGGATTTCCATCAATGGGAAGTCAAAAAATCTCACCTGGATAGTTGGTAGATTCCCCGTGTGTAGGCACACTGCTCTTCTCATTACTTCCTGGCAAACGGCTGATTAATTCCTGTGGAAAGTCAGTTTGTGTTGCAGAAGAAGTGGTATGCCTAGGAGCAGCAGCATTATTGTTATTTGTTGTATTCACTTGCACTTGATTTATTTCCTTTATCACCTGCTCATAAGATGGAGGAAGCTACAAGAGAAAGACAGAAACATTAATGCATGTCTAAATTTTATCTTTTATTTTAAACCATATATTTATTTAAAAATACTAAATTAACATGCAGAGGAAAAGAACACTGTCATAGTTTTTTATTCAATGTCATGACAACGTAAGCAAGTAAAATTCTTAGTGATAGAACGGTTTCTCTATTTATTTTTTTTTAACCATCATATACCTAACACAGTTCATGTAAATCCATGCTCACCTCAGCTGGAATAAGCTCATTTGTCCTCCACTGAGCATGAGGTGAAGCAGAAGAGAATCCTAATCCTTGAGGAGCAACAGGACTTGCACCTGGAAACCAGGAGGATGGCCGCAGGGGTTCAGCAGCAACTATTGTAATTTCAGGACGCCTCGAGGTAAAGCAAAAGGGAATAATTACCTAAAACATCTCAAAATAGTTACTTTAAATATAAAAGATCAATGTTTCCTCAGCATCAAAAATCAGAACAGCTCAGGTCTTATTTAACCAAAGTATCTTTCCATGACTGCAAAGCAAATTACCCGACCTTTCTAATAAGCACTTAGGCTTCCATTCAGAACGCCTAATTAAATGCCTAAGCCAAAAAGTAGGTTTATTGGCTTCAGTGAAATAATTTACATGCTAAAAAAGCATCCAAATACAAATGTAACTCAATTAGATGGAAGAAGACTTAGTCTTCAAAGGATAATGAGAACTAATCATGCATTTGCCCTTAGTCTGCTGCAATGTGAAAACAGTGGGATAGTTAAAACTGCTTCTGGTTGACTACTTATAAGCTTGTTTACCCTCAAGACTTCTGGGGAAACCCCCCACAGTACTAAAGGAAGGGCAAAGCATGCCTCACAAGCTCTCTGGGACAGGGCTTCTTTGCTTACAGCATCTAGTATAACAGGGACCCAGAAGTACTTCCAATGTTTCATTGCTGTAACAACTGCTTTAGAGGATAAACTGCAGTGGCAGCATGGTGTTTTCCAAACACAGCCCCCAACCACTGCTGATTCATCTAGAGCTCTGCACTGAATTTATTTTGGAAAGTGAGCTTTGTGAATAGATGAAGCATCTGCTACAGAAGCTTCTGTGTGCTAACAGAAAAACATCAGAAACCTAAACACTAAAACATAACTAAAAAACACAGGGAAGAATGCAGTCCCTTCAAACCTGAAGTAATAGCAGATTTGATAGAAAGGCTATTCAGGTTACTGATCTCCTCTCTCAAACCTTTGGAGAAACCAGAACGTGTGACAGCGTGCCTATTTTCATTGTGATCTCATAAATAGATGTCAGGAAATAAAAGCAGTTCCATACAGGTTTGCTGTCTGGTTGCATTGGCTTTTTTTTTGAAGACACATACAATGCTTAAGCAGAAACAGCAACTCTTAGTCCATCCTCTGTTTAAGCATCACAGCATTCTAGTTTAAATTAAAATTCAACATATGAAAGATAATGAGAAACAAAACAAAAACAAACAAAAAAAAAAAACCCCACCAAAACAACTAGAGAAACACATACAAAGTAATGCTGTGATACAATCTAACAAGTTGTAAAGTAACATCCAATTACAATATAATAAGTGCATCATACCTTCTATCCCTCTGCTGTTCACTGTGGCTAGAAGTTCGAGAAGCTATTGAAGTAAAAGAAACAAAAGTTTGGAGAAAGTTAAAATACACCATCACAGCACATAGTTGAGGACAAGAGCATAGCCCCTACCGTCTACCATAAAGGAAACAGAGAGCATACATAGCATGCGATCATAAATCCCAGACTCCAGGAGACACCAAGGATTTTTTTTTTTTTTTAATTATTAGCATAAAAAACAAGGGAAAACTTTTTTTAAAGGTTTAGGGTGCACATTCAAATCACTTTAAGTCATTCTATGTCCAAGATACCATCAAAAGAGACAGTCCTGCCCATTTCCTTCCTTTTCAAAACATTCCTGTCTTCTGTATCATAGTGACCCCAGAGCTGTAACTTTTCTTTGAAGTGTTAATCAAGTCTGATTTTGCTTTTGATGGCTCATTTCTAAACTTTCTAGAGATGTTTTTTCTTCTTCTCTAGAAGGAAAAACTACTAATGCAAAAAACTTAAGATATTTCACCATACTTTATGTTAAAAAATAAAAAAGCAATGTTCCCAATTAGAAATCTCTTAAAAGTTTAATCATTTGTGCATTAAAAATCTGCAACACTTCAAAAATCATTATGTTTTGAAGTTGTCCTATTTTTTTTTTTTGCCATATTTTTATTCAGATAATCTTCCCAATGGCCACATCATGTTCTCACTTGGATGTCTTCAATGAAAAAAGGAGATTATTTGAGGGACAAATTTTTGCATAGCAATGACAATTTAGGAAGTGGTAGAATCTTATTGCGTGAAAGACGACGATTGTGCTGTTTCTGTGCCATCACAGAAGCATAGCTGAAATCTGAAATCAGTAAAGCATACTTGATTCGAGCATTGCAGTGTTGTGTCAGACATACCGCTTCCACGGGGCATTTTTGATGTGCACTATTCATGAGTGCTAGAGGAAAAAAAAGAAGGGGTTACAGAAAGGGAAGAGGAGGTGAAAGAGAACAAACCAAGGCTCCAGAACCAGAAAATATGATTAAATGGGTTAGTAACACAAGAATACGTGCCACAGATTTAAAAAGACGACTTTTTATGTCTATTTACAGTATAGCATCTTTAAAAAAAAAAACAAACTAAAAACCAGACTGGATCTCTACTTCCATGCTGATTTTAACAATGGGTGTTCTGAGGTCTCTCTGCCATAATTAACCATAAGGAACACAACTGGGTATGGAAAAATTCACTGTATTGCTCAACAAAGTGCAATGAAGGGAAGGAAAACACAATTTCTTTGAATGCTTTATTTAGCTTGAAAACATGGTTGGTGTCTGTGCTGTTTTCTTTCTAAAATGGTTACGTCGAGGAGTTGATCCAGATGCCATGAAAATGGGATCCCGCATTTCACAGTCCCACCTAACCAAGAGGTATGATCAGGCATACTGGCCCAGGCAAGAAGCACACACCTCAAAGTTTCAGGAGTAACAGCCCATCTTCTAATCCAGTTCTGTAAAAATAGTTTGGCTAACACAAATGGAAATCCCCTATACAGACAAAATACCACCTTCACTTCCTTCTTCATAGATCTTAGTGCAGCAATCACATTATTCACACGTTCAAGGAAACAAACAACCAAACAAAAATATGAAAGAAAAACCCAAAACAATCAAACCAATCTCTTCCAATTTTACTTTTGCAACGAGAATCTAAGTGTTAATTTCGTAAATGTATTCAATACAACTGCTTTGGGTACATCCAAATTGAAATGGTAATGAGAAATTAAAACTAATTACTGAGGGATGCAAAGCTAAGCCAATAAACCTGCCAATTTCCTCAGTTCTTTTTTTATTCCTAGATAAATAGTAGATACTATGTTTTCCCACGAAACTATAAATGTACTTCCATTTATTGAAGTTATTACAACACATAAGAAAAATCTAAAACAGTTCTTTCCTAAACAGAAGCTACAAAACTACAGCGAGGCATAGACAACTACATAATCCATCCAGCTCCAAATATAAAATAAACAAGCAAGTTCACTTAAAAGCAACACACTAAAAATATTCACATAAAAATAACATCATCAGCAGAAGCAAACATTTTATCTACTTTCATATGTGTCCATTCTTTGTTTGAAACAAAATATCCCAGGCACTTCTGGAGTCAAGCTCCTTTCATCAGTATAAATAGCTAATAAAAACATTTATTTTTTAAGGACTTGGACAAAATTCTTTCCTCCTTCCATCACTTCTTTCCCTCTTTTTGCTTTCCTGTTTTTGTTACAGCCACACTTTCAGAGCATCTTTTGTTTTGGAAACTCTGAAATTCATACTAGAGCAGAGGCGCAAACCATTGCATCCTCTGCTTTCGAGTGTTCCTTGGAGTTCCACAAATGCTGAAGAAAAATATAAACTTTCTAAATAATTCTTGTCTGTGGACAGGCACAGCTTTTATTCCTTCACTGTCAAAAGTGATTTTAAATTAAAAAGTGTATGAGAGAAGACATGAATTTTTAAAGCATAGCACATACTTCATTTAAAAACAACAACAAAAAAAAACCCACAATCATTTCACAACCATTTTTCTGGCCGTGTGGTCCTTTCACACCCTATTTTTCACTCCCTTTGTGAATTGGTTTGAAAAAGCAGGCTATTAATTTTTCTCCAGGTTTCAACTTATAACATCTTTAAGCTTAAAAAAGAAAAAAACATTTTCATCATCAGGAGAGTCAATAAAAAAGTATTTCAGTGCTGATTTTCAACAAATCCCTCCACTCTCACAGTAAGAAATGATGTGGATGATAAGTGTCAATATATCCACATCACACATTTAGTGGTTTCTAAATAAAAGGTAACTGAAATGGTTAAAGAAGGGTAGGAAAGGAAAAATCCAGTTTGCAAACTTTTCCTTCCACCTTTCCTTCTTATAATTCTACTGGTCTTGAGAGAAAGAACATCAAACCAACCCATAACACTGCCACTAGAAATACAAGTATGTATTCCTGCTGATGTCAGTGAGGCATCTAAATATGTTTAATCTGTTACTAGGTAAAAGATTAATAGTAATTCTCTAAACAGAAAATGGATGATTGACTTACAGATTCATTCTTGGTACATATTTCTTGTAAGCAGTATTTAGTGGCTTGAGCCCATTATTTTTGTTATGTGCAGTGAGTGGTAAAGCATCCTCTTTTTGCTGCACAGTTACGTTTTAATGGGTTTTTCAACTACAGTTTCTACTCCAGGTTATATTTTTCAAGCTAATTTGGTATTTCACTTACATCTGAAACACATACAGATAATGGGACAGGAGGCAATTTCAACTTTGAGCTCAAGATGCCTGTAAAAATAAACTTTCTAACAATCTTTATACCACAAACTCATCTCTATTGCAGTGATACAGATGAGCTGGTGACAACAGCAGTTTGACATGCATTTCTGAATCTTTCGAAGAGACCTGAGCTAGAATTTACAGTCTTCCAGGCAACTTTTTTAAGCAATCTGAAGTTCATTCAGGGATCTGCTCAGATTCCCTCCTGCTGTGTGCTGAGTGCTTGCACAATAGAAACGCTACAATAATCACATCTGTGCATTTCCATTAGTAAACTATATGAAATACTGAACAGCTTTGTCAGTGCAGACTGTTTTAAAAGCAAGTTCCATCTTCTATTGAAGATTAGAATCATAACCTCAAATACTCAAAACCTTGCGAGAAATTAAACTTGTAATTTTTCTATTGATTTTTATCTATTGTTCCTTCCAGCAGCTCTGAGTAAACATGATCCTTCCTATTAACTATTTCAGTTAATTCCAATTAATATTATCAATGGGCTTTAAAATAATAATATTACTTTCTGTAACAAGTGTGTTACTATTTAAAAATACAGTTTCTTTCAATGCTTTCCCAACACCAGGCTAGAATTTTCTACCATGGATAATAGGAAATATATAGACTATTAGACTGAGAAGTTATCCTTCTCAGCTGCCTGGGTGGACAAGGGTTATTCATCACGGTATCTCACAGAAAGCAGTAATTGTGAGCAAACATCCCTTGCTTTAACTACTATCTGATACAGCTGAAGAGCTGTCAGGCTGATTCCAGGTAAGAGGACACATCTGTGGTTTTTGAGGGTGTTCCACGGCTGCAGAAATGCTTTCTTCAGGGAAAGCTAAAATGAGCAGGTTCTTCTCGCTAAAACCAGAAAAATTTTTTTTAATCAAAGATCTTATTACACTATTCATAAAAAGTGGAGCATCAAACTAATGAGACTTCATTCATCTCTGAAACAGCTGAAGTACGTTTCTTGACACAAGGGGGAGGTCTTGCTCCTTTTCTTCTATTTCTGTTTCCAGGCACCTCAGGAAACATCAAGTTGTTCAACACCAGTGCCAGGCTGAATTGATGCTTGAATGCAGCTACAAGAAAAAGGGCTGCCCAAGTCCCCTTCCAAAGACTAACTTTGGTCCCCCCTGTTGAAACAACAATAGCACTAGTAAGACCCCACAGTGAGTGAGCTCAGAACATCAAATATTAGAAAAAAAACTCATCTCTTTCTGTACAGCTTTTGTTCATTTCATCTCCCTGATCCTACTCACACTTTGGGCTCAGACCTCAGGCAGCAGGAGGGGTAGGAGCGTGCCACCCCCAACAGCAGTCTCTGTTTCCTGCTCTTTTTTGTATAACTTCTCTTGTCTGACCCGGACAAAAACCACCAGGTCACATACCTTATCACAGCTAAGCAAACTGCTGGGCACCAGAGAGGCTGACAGTGTGACTGCACAAAAACTTTTATATCTACACCTGTAGACCACGACTGCAGTTTCACTCAAATTTGATAGTAGAATTTAATGAAGACACTTCACTCCTTCCCACACCTTCCCTTGGGCTGTGTTCCTGCCTCTGCACCATTCTCTACATTATGCCAGCCCAAATGTTTGTGCAGATGGGGAGAGAATGAGGTCACGGAATTGATCTTGTTGGGAAAAAGTAGGAGCCAAAAGAACCCAGGAAGCCCCGAAGCACGACAAAACAAAACCGAAAAACAAACCAAATACACAGCCAAAAATAACTGCAAAACTGCCAAATGGGAAGACATAGCCTCCAAGTGTGTACAAGCTGTTACGCATCCTTCAATCAGCCACATGTTTGCTTAGGACAGAATGAAAATGGGACAAGCTTGTAGGTTTTTCCAACATTTTACGGCAGCAGGCTTGTTTCTGCCAGCCTGTTCTGGAAGAGTGGAGTAGTATGCAAAAACACCATTGCCCTTTGTCTCATCATAGCAGCACTTAGCTTCTTTTTACTTTTTTTTGGCATGTTCCTATCTCAAGTGTCCAAGGAAATAGCTCCATTAATTTCAGTGGGAGGTGTCTGTACTGGTATGCTCTTGGCAGAGATTGTCATTAGAAATCAGAGGCAAATTCTGAAGAGTTCGAAAGTGACTCCTGAGCACATCTCACAATTACATGTTTGATTTCTTCAAACGATTGCTTGATTTATCAAACAGTTGAAACAAACTAACACCACCTTTCCAGTCAGCATTGCAGTCAGTACAGCCAAAAAGGAAAATAAGTGCTCTCCTTCTCCGGCCACAAGATGGGAAGAGACTTACCAGTACGACAGGTAAGTGAGCTTAAGTACTGTACACAAATTTGAAGACTGATACCCTGCAGATACCTACCATGTTTCTTGAAAATGAGAGATAAGCAGACCACAGAAGCTGTGATTAAGGAATAACAATAGATCTCCAATGCTGTTAGAGAGAACTCTTTTTCCAGACAATATTTCAACTTTTCCACATAAATGGCAAGCAGAGTTCAGAATTCGACAGGTCCTATTTTTCATTTAGATCCATCCATAGTATGGTTAGTGGCACACATAAAACCAAGGTTTCATGTGCAACGCCTTAAAACATGCATGGAGATTTTTTTCTATCATGCATGGAGATTTTTTTCTATCATGCATGGAGATTCACACGTTATTTAGATTTTATGGTCATTCACATATTACTATCGTTAAATATATTAAAATACAACGTTACATATACGGATTCACTGCTTCTTGACTAGATGTGTTTTTTAATTGATTGCGCCTCAAAATGAGGCATCACTTGCTACTGCATTTTCCAAACTGTACTTTCCAACTGCTTAATGGTCTTTCAGACCATTTACCAGCTAGAGGAGATCTGGAGCTTATAAAGTCTCTATCGATTCCTGACTCAGTGACAAAAGGCCTTCTGTGATCTGGTGCTCTGTTTTTCAGCTTCCTATTTATGGCAGCAATAGCACAGATAAAGCACTGCATTTTAACTACAGCATCATGGAGACTTGCCCTAAATGAAGCATTCATGATCTCCTTTCACTGCCTCCAGTCCAATCCATTCTAATGAGCCCCCAAGTAATAGATTCAGAAGAAACAGATCAGTAGCACATACACTAATGCATTTTTCCCCCACTGTTTCTTCACTGTGAAATTGAAATCATGGACAGAAATGAAATACAAATGTGAAGTGGAAAAAAAGGAACAGTATAAAATACTTCAGAGAACACAATTGAAGAAATTCTGTCTGGAAATATCAAGAGCAGGGAAAGACACATAAAAAAAAATAGGGAAAAAGAAATTGCCCATTCATTCAAGATTTAGAAACAATTTTTTGCTTTCAGAAATAAATAACATGCATGCATCTAATCCTGTACCCATTATAGCAAACAGTGCTGAGGATTTCTCCTGAAATGAAACAAGCTTCTCGTTTGTCACATGCCTAAGAATTGAGCATACGTAACCCAAGGTCTTCAGAGATGGATCACCGCAGTGCACAAATGCTCTGGTGCTCAAATAAGAAAACGTTAGTAACTGGCAAAAAGGAACAGATCATCAGCAAAGCAAAAAGAGGGAGTAATGCAAAGGCAAAAAAAGTAATTACAGTCCACTCTCCCCACCCCAAAGACTGTTAGCAACTTCCTTTCCAAAGTTAACTCGGGCAGTTCAACTTACTTCTATAAAGTTAATCCAGTTACTGAAAATGACGATGAAGCAATTTTAAAAAGCAATAACTGTCAAGAAGAAAGAAAAACAGACTTACATCTCTTGATTGCTGCTCTTATGGATGACAAGGGTCCTTGGCTTAATAAAAGAAAAAAAAAAAAAAGATTACTCAGTGGTTAGCATCTCAAAGAGAACAACTAAGCAGCACTGTGTAGAGGATTCCTATACACTACACAGGGCTTGCCAAATTCATGCCCAGCTACCTTAAAGAAACACATTCAAACCCCCATGCAGAAAAACAACCATACCCTACACATTCCAATGCTAACCAGGTTACAGCTTAGCTTAAAGACTCTTCAAAGATAGTAAACCATTTTTGAAAAGACATTTGTTCTCTTGATTCTGTACTGAAGTTCATACTCTGACTCATTTGACTGTGACACCTGGAAAAGAGCCCATGTGGGTGTGTATATTCTCAGATTATTAGCATTTAATGACTTAACATCCCCATAAATAAATAAAACTTACACAGCCAAGCAAACACCTATGACCCCTCTGCTAAATATTTCGAATGGTTAGTTAATATCTGGTATCTCCACTTTCAGATGAGGTTGCATTTTTCAGTAATAACTTGGTGGGTGGGGTTAGACAGGAATACAACATGACCAAAAAGTTGTTGACACACAAGGACAGAAAAATGTTTTCTTTTGCCAGCTCATCTGTTTTCTTGGCAAGACTAAGGCTTCTTACGACTCTCCCCTGAAGCTCTTACTTAAGAGATCTAACAGCCTTTAGTAACTTTGCAAAAGTTACTTGAGATTATTATTCCAGGAAGTGTTGCTAACTTGACAAACGTGATACTAATTAACGTGCCACATGTAAAAAGCTACAGAGGAGTTATTTAAAAAAAAAAAAAAAAAAAAGCAACAACAAAACTATTTCAGAAAAAGACTATTTCTTGCAACGCAATGGGTTAAAAACACTCCGTGAGACACCATCAATAGAATATTCGGCACTTTCTAAAGATTGCAAAACAACTGTATCAGATTCAATGTAAGACATTAATTACCTAAGAAAGACATACGACCTGAGTCAAGCCTTTTCCAGAACCACCACCCCTGCAGCCTTCATCAGTGGCCACACCAGCAGGAAAGTTACAGAGAAGGCAGGAGCACTTTGCAGTGCTCTCTCCACACTCGGAGCAAGCATGCCACACTCAGACTGTCAGTGCTTGCTTTGGCTGCACACACACTTCCACTGCAACTGCTGAAGACTGCAGCTGCATCAGTGGGAATAAGGCATTTGGAGAAGAGAAGAAAAAGGCACGTGCAAAGAACAAGTGTGAAAAATGTCCTCCTTCCAAAGACTAGGAACGGACGTTGCTCTGACCTAACTGTCTTTTGAAATATTTGGCTCACCTAGGGTAAAAGCAAGGTTGATCTGTCTGCTTTCAGTAACAGCTCAAGAGTAGCTTAGTTCCTATCAGTGCAGCATTAGAACACATTTCCATCAATCATATTCTACCATACATTCTTAGCAGTAAAGGGATCTTCTCTTTCAAAACGCTCCATGATACAGCTCATCTTTGAGAAACATTTTAGTTGCATGTTCTTCCCTGATGTAACTCAATCACTTTTTTTCTTCCTTATAACTCAACTCTTTCTTTCCTATGTCTATTTTTGCAGTACTGTTCTTCTGTCTTCATTGCTAGGAATAATTGCAATATTTAGGGCTTTATTTTCATTATATTTAATATCGGGCAGGAAGGAGACTGAAGTCTGCTACTGTGAATCTTAAATCTTTCAGAGGAGCAAATACTTTCTATACTCAGAATTCAACGTCTTCAATGTTAAAAGCTGGAAATTAGATAATGTATAATGTATGAATACCTAAACATCAGTAAGACCCAAATGGAGCAGGTTAAGTTCTTTCTTCAGTTGGCAAGAGCACCTTGAATTGTTTCAATTTGCCTCAGAATCTGAGGAGCACATTGAGATGAGAGCAGGAACTTGTGGCTCAAAACAATAGCAGTCGTCATATATGCACAAGTCCACATTCTCTTAGCAACATACTAACTAAAAAAATGTATAGAAAATAACTTATAATCACAGTGCAAAGAACAAAGAAGCAAAATCTTTCATTAAACCAACCCAGTGAAGCTGAAATATGAATATATCATCAGCCAAGCAGTTCAAGTACGCAACTCTCCATGTAATTTAGAACCCAGAATAACATGATTCTGTTAGAAAATTTATTAACTCACAGACAAAGCTATTATCAGATAATTTTTCTTTTCCTCTTTCTATTAACAAGTTATCATCAAAACCCTTCCTCTCCTTTGGCAAAGGACTGTTTCCTACACTCAGGAGAGTTTGATTCACATTTAACTTAAAATTATTTAAGCCTTCTGAAAACAAAGAAACAGGAATGAATTTAGATTATTATTATTTGCCGTGAAATCCTATAAGGGGACTGAAAGTTCCATAACTTCGCTATGTATTGAACACCAGTAATTTAAAAAAGATGCTGTTGTTAGGGCAAACTGTGATCGTACCTGCACTCAATGCTGAGGTAACCCTGCCCTATTCCAGAAACAACAATTTCTAATCTGCTGCCCCATCGTGCAGAATGAGAAGTGATAAGGTTGCTAACATCCTCCTCTGCTCCACAGGTAATGAACACATTTTCTCTCAAGAGATCCAAATAATTAGCAATACCAAATTGAATTCAGTTCTCCTATTTGATGTGTAGGAGCTGTAACAGTGATTCTAATTAATGGAGACCCTGCCTCTTCCTCCTGTAACAGAGAGCAGTGAACCAGAGCACACACAGAAACCCCACGAATACCCACATAAAGGAAAAATAAAGCAGGGATGAGTTCAGTCTGCACGTGAACTCTGATCCTGGTTCCATCATGAGTCTCCAGACAGTTATGTCAGAAGCACTGGGAGGAAGGCATGACATCAGCCAGCCCGTTGGGGGGCAGCAGCACCCATACTGTGCCCACAGCATGCATAGGTAGAACTCCAAACTCAAAGGGCTGGCAGAAAAATGAACGGACAGCAAGACTTAGGCACTTTCACAGCATTTGAGACTGATAAACATTAGTTTAAACACCACCCCAGGTGTAAATAATATGGAGCAAATAGAGATGCAAACTCTCACACTTCTTGCACACTAATTAACCAGGCAAGAGAAGACAACCAGAACACTTCTCCCAACATCTATGGATTTGTCCTAGATCTCGCTGACTGACAATTTAATGCACAGAGTTTGTTCAGTTCCCAACTAAGGCAGTGGTTCTGTTGAGCTTCCTAAGCCAGCCCCTCAAAACAGGGAACTTGCCATCCCTGTGCACCTATGCAAACTACCTCAGTTGGTTCAGAGGGGATCCGTCAAGCTGCTGTACTTGCTAGCTGAAGGTAGTCAAATATCTCAAGCCAGCATCACAAGGGGCCCATTTCCACCCCAACTGATTGCAAGGCAGCTCTGCTCCTGGGTGTAGGCAGACAGATTGATGCTGGGCATAAATCACTCTAGACACACAAAAAAAGGCTGGTGGGGAAAAAAAAAAAAAAAAGTCAACCCTTGTTAAAAAATATATATGTACTGAAGCATCTGCTACCAAGCCTCAAAATTTATCGCTTACATCACACTATACAGGGCTTTTTTCAAATTATCTGTCCTCCAGTTCACACACCTGTTTAAGGAGCACTTAGCATATTTTCAGTTGGGATGGTTACTGACTCTCTTACATGCCCCTTTACTAAGTTCAAATGTTGCTTTTTTTAATACCTGGAGACTTCCTGGAATGCTAGCAAAGAACTTTCCAATAGCTGTTGTTGAAATTATTGCAATATTATGTATAGTACTACAATAAAAGACATCACATATTCCTCTCTGTTACTTTATAACTCATACTACCTTTGTAACAGTGAATGTACTACCCAAGACTCAGCTTCACCCTTGGTTTAAGATAGAAAACCAGACAGTCAGCAGTGCTCCCTTCCCCATGACCACCATCTCCTCCAGCCCTTTCACGTTGGTGCTGACATAGCTACAAGTCTGCCTGACCAACCTTGTGATTGCGCTCTTAAGAAGCACAAGGTCTGCCCCAGACAGCCAATGAGTTCTCAGCCAGCCCAGCCAACAGCTCCAGCTAGCTGCAGAGCTCCCAAGAGCACCAGGGTGATGCAAGAGGGGTGGTGCAAAGGGCAACTGGGGAGGTCAGGGGCTCTCCTCGTGCGAAGTAGCTTGGCCTTTGCTCACCAAAACACATCTTTAGCCCGTGACTAATGCCATACGTGCAGCTAACCTGACAGCAAATTATCCAGTGCTAATCCTGCCTCAGGTCAGCATTCTTCTCACCCCTCCCAGGAGCTGATGCACTTCTTTATTTGCGCTGGTTACTCTGATCAGCTCACTGGGAGATCAGAGCAGCACCAACAAAAAGCAGCTGGCAGCAGCCAGGCACCTTAACACACAAACACATCCATACCTTCTCTGCTGAGTAATGGGGTATTGTCATAGCCCTGTGAGTACAAAGGCTGATAAAGATCCAGTCACCTAACAAATCAAGTATGTCTGCATTATTGAGCATTTATCTTAGAAATAGTATTCACCCTGGTACAACTTCACCTCTCTCCAAAGTCTGAGCCCAAAAACAAGCAATCCTGAAGCAGTAATTAAGTCCAGTGACAATTCAATCATCATTATGCTGCAGATGTCTATGGCTGCATTGCTAAACGAATGCAGCAACTGTGACTTCCCACTGTCTGGACAAGCAAAGATAGCTAAGAAGCAGCTGAAATCCAGCTGCTCAGCTAATTAGAGCAGCTCACGTTCATCAGCATAAGGAAATCCTTTCAGAAATGTTCTCTAGCTGCTTCTTCAGCTACTTCCTAAATATTCATGTGCTCACCACCATCACACTTGGGGATGGTATTTCAGCAACTGAACCTCCAATTTTGTGGTCGAACACTGGCAGGACGTCAAAGCAGATCACGGCAGCAAATGCAAACATTTCACTCACCAAGCCTTGCAAAAAAATCCAGTCTCCAGGTTGCAACAGCTTTCACAGTTTCCCATGTCCAGCTTTCATCTTGAAGCCAAAGCACATCTATTTTGTTTTTATGAAT